CTGAGTCTAGATTTGAACTCAGGTCTTCCTGTCCCTAGGCCCAGAGCTTTATTCACTCCTAGCTGCCTCTGAGAGAAAACAAAATAGAGGGAAAATAATGGTACATAACACCTCAACTAACATTTAAGGCCCTCTTTGACATAGCTCAGAACCATCACTCAAATTTCTTACTCAACACTTCTCTACAAAAAAACTCCACTCCAGCCAAATTAGCCCAATTACTGTTTCTGAAACATACTAGGCTTATTTCCAAGCCTGTGCGTTATCTAGAAAATAGTTAGACGAAGTCAAGTTCAGTGCTGGAGATTTAGGGTCTAATCTTATTAGTAGTAGGATCATGGGGTAAGTCTCCTTGATCCTCATCTACCTCATATATCAAAACGTGATTTTAGGACCCAGGCTTATTGTGGAACAAAAATGACTATATTATGTAGGTGGTGTAGTGGATAGTCAGGAAGACCTACCTGAGTTTCCATCTGGCTTCAGACACTTACTAGCTGTGTGACCCCTGGCAAGCCACTTAACTTTTGCCTGCCTTAGTTTCCTCCTCTGTAAAATGGAGATAATAACAGCCTTTACCTTGAAGGGTTGTTGTGAAGATCAAATAAGATAACATACATAAAATGCTTTAAAAATCATAAAGCCCGGTATCAATGCTAGTTATTGTTGTCATTGTTAGTGAAAAACAGTATGAAATCAGATATTATTTTTAAAGCATTTTGCTTCAGAAAACATTATATAAATGCTAAAAGGCCTAACAGTGGTATCTTTGGACAACTGGATACTTCCAACAGGGTGGATGTCTAAGAGGAATCTTAAAATCAGCACATCTGAAACTGAACTCATTACCTTTGTCCCCAAACTTTCTCTTACAAGCCTTCCCGTTTCTCTCTCTCTGTTTTTTTTTTTAAATTTTTAGGCAATTGGGGTTAAGTGATTTGCCCAGGGTCGCACAGCTAGTAAGTGTCAAGTGTTTGGTCTGTGGCTGGATTTGAACTCAGCTCCTCCCTCCCTTCTTCTCCTCCTCCTTTACCTGCTGAGGAGGCAAGCAAATAATATTAATTATACATGTGAAATCATGCAAAACATATTTCCATATTAGCCATATTGAAAAAAAAACAAAAAAATAAAGTTAGAAAATTATACTTCAATTTGCTCTCAGAGTTCATTAGTTCTCTTTCTGGGTAGATAGCATTTTTTCATCATGAATCCTTTGGAATTGTCTTAGATCATTGTATTGAATAGAGTAGCCAAGTCTTTCACAGTCAATCATTATTACAACATTGCTGTTACTGCACAATGATCTCCCGGTTCTTCTCACTTTACTTTATATAATTTCATATAGATCTTGCCTGGTTGTTTTTTTTTCCTGAAACCATCCTTCTCGTCATTTCTTTTCTTTTTTGTCTTTGTTGAGGCAGTTGGGGTTAAGTGACTTGCCCAGGGTCAGACAGCTGGTGAGTGTCAAGTGTGTGAGGTTGGATTTGAACTCAATTCCTCCTGACTCCAAGGCTGGAGCCCTATCCACTGTACCACCTAGTTGCCTCTCTCTCATCATTTCTTATAGCACAGTAGTATTCTATCACAACCATATGCCACAACTTGTTCAGTCACTCCCCAGCTGATGGGCATCTCCTCAATTTCCAATTCTTTGCCACTACAAAAAGAGCTGTTACAAATATTTTTATACATATATGTCCTTTTCCTTTGATCTCTTTGGAGTAAGACCTAGTAGTGGTATTGTTGGATTGAAGGGAATGCACAATTTTATAACTCTTTGGGTCTAGTTCCAAATTGTTCTCCAGAATGTTTAGACCAGTTCACAATTCTACCAACAGTGTATTTGGTGTACCTATTCTCCCTCGTTCCCTCCAGCATTTGTCATTTCTGATAGATATGATCAGAATTGTTTTAATTTGCCTTTCTCTAATCAATAGTGATTTAGAGCTTTTTTTTCATGTAACTATAGATAACTTTGACTTCTTCTCAAAACTGCCTTTCAAATCCTTTGACCATTTATCAATTTGGGGAATGACTCTTCTTTTTATAAATTTGACTCATTTTCCTATATATTTGAAAATGAGACCAGAAAAAAACTTGATGTAAAAATTTTTAATATTGGTTCATTGTCTATGGTACCTTTTTAAAAAAATTAATTTATTTTTAGTTTTCAACAATCATTTCCATAAGCTTTTGAATTTTAAATTTTCTCTCCCTCCCTCCCCACCTCCCTCCCCAAGATGGTATGCAATTTGATATAGGCTGTACATATACATTCCTATTAAACATATTTTCACATGAGTCATGTTGTAAAGAAGACTTAGAACCAACAGGAGGAACTAAATGAAAGAAGAAACAAAACGAAACAGAAGACAAAACAAAAAGAGCAAATAGCATGCTTCGGTCTGCATTCCAATTCCATAGTTCTTTCTTTGGATATGGATAACACTTTCCATCATGAGACTTTTGGAGATGTTTTAGATCCTTGCATTGCTGAGAAGAGCTGAGTGTATCAAAGTTAGTCATTGTACAACGTGGCTATTACTGTGTAAATGCTCTCCTGGTTCTGCTCACTTCACTCAGTGTCAGTTCATACAAGTGTTTCCAGGTTTTTCTGAAGTCAGCCTGTTCATCATTTCTTATAGCCCAATAGTATTCCATTACATTCATGTACACAGCTTGTTCAGCCATTCTCCAATTGATGGGCATCCCCTCCATTTCCAATTCTTTGCCACCACAGAAAGAACTGCTATAAATATTTTTGTAGAGGCGTGTCCTTTTTCCATTTTTATGATCTCTTTGGATACAGCCCTAGAAGTGCTATGGCTGGATCAAAGGGTATGCACATTTTTATAGCCCAGTGGGCATAGTTCCAAATTGCTCTCCAAAATGGTTGGATCAGTTCACAACTCCACCAACAGTGCATTAATGTTCCAATTTTCCCACATCTTCTCCAACATTTATCATTTTCCTGTTTTGTCATGTTTGCCAATCTGATAAGTGTGATGTGTCTATGGTACCTTTTAGCAAAATATATTTTCTCTTATTAGCTCTTTTAATTAGAAATCTTTTTGTTTTTGCTTTGTCTGTGATCATGATTGCTACCTCTGCCTTTTTTACTTTAACCAAAGTGTAATGGATTCTGCTCCAGCCCCTTTTTAAAAAAAAAACAAACTCTGTGTGTGTATTTCTGTTCCAATTGTGTCTCGCTAAACACATGTTGTTGGATTCTGTTTTTTTCATCCATTCTGCTATATGCTTCCTATTATGTGTGAGCCACTGTGTTTAATACTAGAGAGATATTCCAGTGGACCTCTGATCATATTGATATGACTGTTTATTTCCTTTAACAATGCAGAACATAATCCTTCCATGGCTGCTGATCCTATATCATCCTATATGTGACTTTCCTTAATCACACATATCTGACTACATTAATGCCCTACACATAAACTCTAGTGGCTCCCTATTGCTCCTACATACCCCTTTTTTGGGGGTGTGTGAGGCAATTGGGGTTAAGTGACTTGCCCAAAGTCACACAGCTAGTGTTATGTGTCTGAGGCCAGATTTGAACTCAGGTCCTCCTGACTTGAGGGCCGGTGCTCTATCCATTGCACCACCTAGCTGCCCCCTCTACATACCTTTTTATTCGCATGCTGTCTCTCCAGTTAGACTGTAAGCTCCTTGAGGGGAAAGACTACTTCGTTTTCAGTTTTTCTTTGTATCCCCAGCAACTAGCACAATGCCTAGAGTCTAAGAAGCGCCTAGGACCTTTCTAGGTCCTTGGGTGCGGCCTTTTGACTGAAACCAAGTTTTACAGAACCAATCTTTTTATTAAAGGGATTTGTTCTGTGAAATTTGGATTCAGTCAAAAGGCCGCACTTGAGGACCGAAAGGGCCACATGTGGCCTTCAGGCTGCAAGTTCCCTACCCCTGGCCTAGACTGTGCATAAATAGACTGTAGTAAATGCATGTTAATTGATTGACCAACTATAAACTCTTTTGTTCAGCTTTTAAAGCCTGTTACAACTTGGTCTCAACCTACCTTTTCAGCCTCATTACGTATTACTTCTATTTCCACAATCTATGGTCTACCCAATTTGGCCTTCTTGTCATTGATCCCACGTGGCACTCCATTTCCTGCCTTTGCACTAGAATGTCCTCCCTCTTCAAAGAATCCATTTCCTTCATGATTCAGTTTATATACTGCCTTCTACAATGAAGCCTTTCCTCCTCTCCCAAATGTTAGTGCCCTCTTTCCCTCAAATACGTTGTCTTTATTTTGTACATACTTACACGTGCAAATTCTCTTCCCCTATAAAACAAGCTCCTTGAGGGAACGGACTCTGCTTTAGAACATAAGCTTCTTTCCAGTATGGATTGTTTCCTTAGTGTTTCTTTTTATTTGTATCCCTAGCACAGTGCCTGGCATATATTAGGGCATATCATGCAGATTAAACTTCAGAGTGTCCTAGGCACTTTTTTTTGGTAAGAGCTGGTTGTTAAACATTTACAAACATATCCTCATTTATATTCTACTAGGGAGATACAGCTTGTACATAGATATTCATAATATGGCAGGTGCAAAATACAGATCTATACAAAGTGATCGAGGAAGACACAAGGAAGAAGTGGTCTGCCATAATGGAGAGAGACCACTTTGGAGTTAGAAAGACCTGGTTCAAGTGCCACCTTTGAAATGGGCTGTGTGACCCTAGGCAAATCCCAGCCTCTCAGTGCTTCAGGCACTCCCTGGCTGTAGGCTGCAGAAGAGGAGCAGATCTTTCTTGGTGGAGGGAGTTTCCTCACTGGGACATGCCCTTACCATTGTGATCATAGGCATGGACTAAAAAGAAACTTTGTGGAGGGAGAGAACCCTGTGAGTCAGGAGTACAGTTTGATTTAGCTGAAGGAATGATAAGACGAAATGTGTTGTTTTTGAGTCATGGTGTCCTAAAAATGCTCATGTCAAAGAGAATAAAATTGACTTGGGACATCTATCAGTAATTCAAAAATAATCTTTATTATAATTTATGTGATCATGAGAGTGATGAGTACAAATGCCACTAAACTAGAAGTCCCTCCCCATGAAAAAAAAAGCGAAAGTACAAAAAGGTCTGGAATCATCAGCTCATGCAGTAGACATAATATAAAAAAAAAACCCAACAACCCCAAAACAGCTTTTAACATTATGCTTTTACTTTCCATAAAAAGAACTATTTCATCCATTAAACAAGTAAACATTTTAGACTATACAAATGTACTTTTTCAATAAAGGATATATATATATTTATGTGGTATTTATAAATTTACAAATATATACATCACTATAACATTCACAGTTGCAACAGTGATTTACCAGGAAGCCTGGCAAACAATTTCCATTTTTAATGAAGTGCTTTGTTTGTTTGTTTTCAACTATATTAACAATTTGATGGGTTGAACTGACATCTAAACAGGGTACTGTACCAAGTGCTCATAGTACAGTTTGGATCCTGGAGCTTTTTAATTACACTCATGAATCTTTCTTTTAAGACTTCAAGGACTGATGAAATACCTTGGCATATCCTACTTTTTGTACTTTTAGGCAGACAGACAGTCGTTACTTCATGTCATCTGCTTTAACCATCTCACACTAACTTAGCACCCTGATTTTGCTGTAATCATAGCAAGCTGCTGTCTCACACCTACAGTGAAGCAGACTCCGGAGTACAGGCACAGATGAGGTAACTCTGGATGGTGGGTATTTTGCCTTGAACTTGCTTCATAAATCCTGTGAGAGTAAAACACACCCTACCATCCTTCCTCTACTTCTTTCCAGGAGCCAAGGATCTCTGCCAGCCCCCCAAGTGTATCCACATCACAAACACCCCTGTAACTTTCTGACTTTAGTTCTGGTGTATTCTGCTGACAAAATACCCCAGAATATACTTGGAAGAGTGAAACACCTGCTTCTTTTTAATCCAAAAGCAAATTAATCTTGAAATTTTCTTAAGTTAATTGAATATATATATATACACACATATATACACACACACACGTATATATATGAGTGGGTATAACTTTAATTTATAGGTCTTAGATAACAATCTGACTTTTCAATAGAACAGATATTAAACTTGCAAATTATTGAGGGGTAGTGGAGGTGACTGAAAAAGAGAAGTAAAAGGTTACATGGCCCTTCAAAAATTAAGTTGATAAGTTAACATCCCACTCAGTTTTACAGGCTAATCTATTTGTGGAAGTCCTTTTTGTGCTCTTCCAAAGGACATTAGATAGCTAAGTGGGTAATTCAACCCTGAGTCCATTACAGAGAGAAAACCACAAGGTAGTTGTGGTTTTTCTTTTTAACTTATTACAGCTTGTAGTTAACAAACAAAAAAGAACCAGAACAAAACCAAACCCCTTTTTCTTCAGTTAGTCCTTACTTACTGAGCCCACTTTTCCTTTGTTGAGCTAAAGCGTCACATGAGTATTTCAAGCTTGCAGGAAAACTTCCAATAAAAAAATACAATGCACGTAAAAAAGTGGAGATGTACATCTTTAAAATATCATCTATACCAGATGAGACTGAATTGTACTGGGTGTTGCTGGGAGCTGTCAACAATATAGTCTACTGACTCAGAGGCCTGCTCAGAGGCAAAGGAAAAAGGTGATGGAAACTGAGTAGCCCGACTTGAATTTATTCTATAAATAATCAAGTCTCTGTACTCCTTCAATAGGATTCCTCCATTGCTTTGTCTCCCCAGCTAAATGACAGCACCATCCTAGGCAGGAAGGCTAGATGCCATGGCCCTTAAACATCAGGCAGAGTGATAGTAAGTAGTTAGAAAGCGGTGGCAACTTCATTTCCATAACGCCCTCCAATCTTCACACAGTCTCGAGGAAACTGATCCAGCTGCTCATATGCCAGCCGCCCATCTTCTCCTGGATACAAAACATGGAGTGTGAATTATTATACATGAGGCCTTCAATTTCCTCTAACAAAAGAATTTCATGCCAAGGTTGCTTAGAGATAGATTTACTATGGATTGGCATGCTAGTTCCTCATGGAGAGGAAAACATTTAAAAAAATCCAGCCTTTTTATTATGGTCCTTGGAGGGCAGCTAGGAGGCACACTGCATACAGGGCTGGGCCTGGAATCAGAAGACCTGAATTTAAATCTAGCCTCAGACACTTATTAGCTGTGTGACCCTGGGCAAGTCACATAACCCTGTTTGCTTTAGTTTCTTCATCTATAAAATGAGGTGGAGAAGGAAATGGCAAACCACTCCAGGATCTTTGCCAAGGAAACCCCAAATGAGGAAATGAAGAGTCAGACACAACTGAAAAATGACTGAATGATAAAAATGTCACACAAGCCCTTTCCAGTTAGTATTTGTAACTAAGCATTATTTAGGGGACATATCTATAACTCTGATGAGGTTGCAAATATTCAAATCCAGAAGGATGCCAGGGTTCCCTCACTACCATCCAATATACAAACATTTATTATTATTTGGGTATTTATTAAAATGATGTTAAAGTAAACAGTATATCTTATGATGAGGCCTACTGAGGAATCTTAGGCCAGGAATTACTCAAGTACGCTCCATTTTGTGTAGGATGGAGCAGGAAGTAACAGCACAAGTTCATTTTTTCACAAAGAAATTTAACATTTAAAATGTACTAGGGATCATTTAATGCAGGGGTTCTTAACCTTTTTTATGTCATAAACCCGCATTGGCAGTCTAGTGAAGCCTGTGGACTCCTCTCAACGTCATATTTTTAAATGCCCTAGACGTTTACTGCTGTGTGACTCTGAGTAAGTCAATTAACCTTTCTCAGACTCAGTTTCCTCATCTCTAAAATGGGGATAATAATAGAAGGGTTGCTGTAAGGATGAAATGAGATAACATTTGTAAAGCACTCTGCAAACTTTAAAGTGCTATATAAATGCCAGCTCTCATTATTATAATTACTATTGCACATAAAATTACAGAGGAAACTAATTATATTAAAATATAATTATCAAAAATATTTTTTAAAATACCAAGTTCATGGGCCCCAGATCAAGAAACTCTGATTTAAGGGAACCCTGCAAGGAACATTTTTGTATAATGAAAAAGCTACGTGTAGAAAATGTTGCTGTTGGTCATTCATTTCAGTTGTGTCTGACTCTTTGTGACCCCATTTGGGGTTTTCTTGGCAAAGATATTGAAGTAGTTTGTCATTTCCTTCTCCAGCTCATTTTACACATGAGGGAACTGAGGCAAACAGGGTTAAGTGACTTGCCCAGGGTCACACAGATAGTAGGTGTCTGAGGCCAGATTTGAACTTAGGAAGATCAGTCTTCCTATCATCCCCTAATTTACCTGTTCAATTAAGGGCGTTTTTTGTGCACTGGTTTTTCTTAAAGCACAACACACATGTATCATAGAAGCCCTGGACTCCCTGTTTTGTAGGTTGTCTCTGATATGCTGTCTCTTTTGCAGTTAATAATATTTTTATTTCTATGTCCTTACATATGGTAATTTGAGTGTCTGAGAGAAAAATTGACAAACCCTTTTGTGAATGACAGGAAAATATGAAAAGTCGATGGGGAGAAGTTGGATTTGAATGGATGGCAATTGTTAGGAGTTAAAGTGAAGCATCGTGGCCTGCTACTCTTGTAATGGCTATTTTCCCAGCAAATTTTATTTGTCTTTAACAAAAGTAAGTTTCCATATTTTTATTTCTTCAGTGTGGGGAATTTCTAGCATGGAAACTCCTTCCACTGATGCAGGCCAGGCCAATAACTTGTCTAGTTATTGACTAGTTATTTTAGTCTTAAAAAGTTGTCTGGGGCTCTGAGAGCCCAAGTGATTGGCACAGGGGTGAAGGAGGCAAGGCTTACTCCAGGTCTTCCTAACTCGGAGCCTAGCCCTCTCTACCCACTATTCCATCCTGCCTCTTTAGCCAATACTCACCATATATAAAATATAAGTAATCCAGCAATTTGTTGAATGTTAGTTTTACCTTCATTATTATTCTAAAATGCTTCTCAAGGTCAAACTAATGCCACAAGGAATTGTGCCACATTTGCAGGGAATTAAAGGCACAAGAAATCTTCACTTCATCCTTCAAACAAAGAAATGTTGGCTCACTTTTCAGTTATTATTAAAGAATATGCTCAGTAGCAGAAGGCACCATTAAGCCAGGGTGAGAAAGAACACTCATACAAGAATGAATAGGAGACTGACTTGACTATTATGCCCTCCACAAGGTCCTGCCATAGATCGTTAAGCTACTGGAGTTTAAGTAGGTTGGCTTCTTTCCAAGTCATACCACTGACCAAGATTCTATCTGTGAGTTTCTGCTCAGTACAATGTTCTTAGGTTTTGCCATTGTACCTTAGTAGTGACTTGCTTTTTGCTAACAAATATAACTTCTTACAGTGTTAAAGAATTGCTCTTTCCTCGTAAAGAAAGAAAAAAAAGTACAATCATCTTTTTTATTATACCATGTTATGGAAATGCTTGTTTTATTCCATAAATTAAAAATAAAATAAACTTGTAAAAAAAGAAAAGAAATCAGTCAGAAACCTGCTAAATTCAAACTTTAAAAGTAAGGTAATTAGATAATTATATGCACAATTAATTTTTTCCCCCTCAAATGAAAAACCACTTTTATTTGATGTAGGTAGGCCTTAGGGAAGGTAGAAGCTAGCTGGGTAGGCAAGAGTTAATCAAAGATTCTGAATCAAGTAGATGCAGTTGTATTTTTAGGGGCTTTCTCCATGTTGGTGATCTGCACAGCTTCCTTCACGGGTGTCACGAGTATCATAGTCTAATCTTCCTCTCTTCTTCTTGGATTCTGAACCCTGGATTTCTGAACCTGTAACATGACCTCCATTCTTTCTTTCTGTCTCTGTTTAGCAGTTGGATGCTAGAGTGAAGCAGCTAGGTGGTGTAGTGGATGAAATCTTTGACCAGGAATCAGGAAGACCAGAGTTCAAATCTGGTCTCAGATACACTAGCTGTGCAATTCTAGACAAGTCATTTAACTGCTTCCTGCTTCAGTTTCCTCAACTGTAAAACAGGGATAATAATTGTACCTATCTCCCAGGGTTGTTGAGAGGACCAAATGAGATGTCAGGCGTTGTGCTTTTTACAAATATTATTTCACTGGATCCTCATAATAACCAGGGAGGTAGGTCTTATTCATATTTAACAGTTGAGGAAATCGAGATAAACAGAGGTTAACTGACTCGACCAGGTTACCCAGTGTCTGAGGCTGGATTTGAACAGGTGGCGCAGTATATAGAGCACCGGCCCTAGAGTCAGGAGGACCTGAGTTCAAATCTTACATCAGACACTAGCTGAGTGACAGTGGGCGAGTCACTTAGCCCTGTTTGCCTTAGTTTCCTCATCTGTAAAATGAGCTGGAGGAGGAAATGGCACACCACTCCAGTATCTTTGCGAAGGAAACCCCAAATGGGGTTATGATGAGTCAAATGTGACTGAAAGGACTCAATAACAACAAACTTCCTGACTCCAGAGCCAACACTCTATCCAGTGTGTCACATGTGTGCCTCTAGGTGGGAGACGGAGAACAAAAGAATTTTGTTGTTCAGTTAGTAAGTGTCTGAGGCTGGATGTGAATTCAGAAAGATGAGGCTTCCTGATTCCAAGCCCTGTGCTCTATCCACTGTGCCACCTAGGTGCCTGAACAAAAGAATACTCAATAATTTAGATCATTTCCTTAATTTTCCACATCACCATGCACAAACAGAAACAACCCACATTAAAAAAAAGACATAATTACAACAAATGGCATGAATATATTCTTAGAAACTCACCAAGAGAGAGCAGTGTTTCAGATGCCACATTTCTGATCTCTTCATTATCAGACTGGCACAGACTTACCAGCATCTTAATGCTTTCAGTAGCCTACAAAATGGTAAAAAGTGAGTTTTGGGGAAATTTCCTGGCTTAAGAATTCTGGCATCTAGAGTAGAGGAAGATACTGCCATCATAACTAGAGAATCCAATTCAATTCAACAAACATTTAAGTACCTACAATGTGCCAACCCCTGTGGTAGGGGTACCATAGGGATACCATACATATGGAAGTAAATACAACGTATATGCAAAATAAAAGAAAATAATTTCAAGAAGGAGAGATTGTTAATAACCGGGGGTCAGGAAAAAAGCCTCAGGTAAGGGGTGGCCCTGGAGCTGTGTTTGTGCCCACATATCATTTACATATAACATATACTTTTTCTTTAAGACTGTTTTCATAAGGAGCGGTTAATGATGAAGAGGACAGAAAAAATACTTTTGTTTAGAAGAGATTAATATTATCCAAGGGTATGAGATATTGTTCATGTTTTAGATGAACATTTTGATTTCTCATATTTGTGGAAAAAGAACTTCATTTTAACATAAATTGCTAAAATACATATACAAAGAAACTCAGTTTTTAGATGGGATTTGGACAGTTTTGGAGGTAAAATGATCCAGGGAATAGAGCTGAAGGCTCAGATTTCTTTGGTAACAAGGTTATATGATTCTGGGCTTGTGTGGGAGCAATTTAATTTTGTAAAATGGCAGACAAAGATCTTTCATTTCCTAAAAACCTGAGAAATGTGAGCATACAGCGAAACACAGTTTCCAGGGCTTCACAGAGATGGAGGACCTTTTGGGGAGATTTCAGAACTACAAGTTTGATTTTAATTCTCATAAAACCTCTGCTAATTTGTGCATACATGATTTGTGACTTAAGAGAATAAAACTAAGAAAATGAGAAATCACATACACAGTTGGAAATGGATAACATTATTTAAAAAGGACTATCGGGGGCAGCTAGGTGGCGCAGTGAATAGAGCACTGGCCCTGAAGCCAGGAGGACCTGAGTTCAAATCCTGCCTCAGACCAAACACGTGACACTAGCTGTGTGACCCTGGGCAAGTCACTTAACCCCAATGGCCTAAAAAGAAAAAGAAAAAAAAAGACTATCAGTTTAATATGGGAAATTTTGGGAGTTGTAACACTTTATGTACAAGGTGAGTCACTGAAAGGGGAATATTCTCATTTAAGCCTTGGAAGAAGTCAGCATATAAGCATCATATAAGACAAAAGGAGAAGAGGAAGAGAAACTTCCCAACTATTTGATGTGCGAAGTTTGATTCTGGGTAGCTGGGTGGTGAATATGTGCGGAGAATGTCAGACTTGGAGGCCAGGAAGTCAGGAAATTCTGAGTTTGAATCCTGACTGTGATCCTGGCCAATTCAGTTTCTGCTTTGGTTTCCTCATCTATAAAATGGGGATATGACTACCTAACTCTCAGGGTTGTTGAAAGGAGAAAAATGAGATAATATATGTAAAGCACTTGGTAAACCTTAAAGCACTATAATAAATGTTAGGTATTACTACTATTACCAGATAAAAATATACTATATTTTCAAAATATACTATAATACTGTATAAAAATCAATTAGTTTTTTAAAAACCAGTGATCGGGTTTTATCACTAATAGCTAAAAGCTTGCCCTTATATTGTGGTTAAGGCTTGAAAAGTGCTTTACAAATATCTCATTTAATCCTCACAACAACTCCATAAGGTAGATGCTCTTACTTCCACTTTTCAGTAGGATTTTGTATAAGATAAAATAACATAAAGATGGTATATGAAGTCCTTAGGAAACTCTCCCAACAGTTAAGAAGTGTTAAATAATGGAAATGTTGACCAGAGAAAGTTATAGACTCCCTGAATATAGATTCTCTTCCTCTAGAGATGAATCACAGTTGTACTCAAAGACAATTAGATGAATCATAACAGTGATTCAATTAAATTCTTCCAGATAGTTATTGTCTGTTGCAGTTGCAAAAATTAAATGATCTGTATTTTGATTTCTAGAATTAGCAACTTACTTATACTATCAACAGTATCTTTCAAAAACAGCCACAGTTCTGATATATGTGTTGTGACTGTTTTGTAGTGGCAAGCAGGAATGGGTTGATCTGTAGAAATCTGTAGAATCTATGGCCCTTTTGAGGCGGCTGACTCTATGGAACAGACATTTGAGAGCTACTAAACAAGATGATGGGCGCAATGGATAGAGCACTGGGCCTGGAGCCAGGAAGACTCATCTTCCTGAGTTCAGATCTGGCCTCGGATATTTACTAGTTGTGTGACCCTGGGCAAGTCACATAACACTGTTTGCCTTAGTTTCCTCATCCATAAAATGAGTTGATGAAGGAAATGGCAAACTACTCCAGGATCTCTGCCAAAAAAACCCCAAATAGGATAATGGAGAGTCAGACACGATTGAAAAACAGCTTAACAATGATACAGAACTAGATAATCTTTCTAAGTCTCCCTCTGTCATGATTTTGTGATGAAAGGAAAACTGTGGGTTGGATTGTTTACTGTCCACAATTGGGTAGACTTGGCTGAGTAGAGACTGGTGCTGATGAGGCCATGGTCACGGGGTAATCATTTTGAATCCCATGTATTTCAGTAGTGTTTATTGTTCTATTCCAAGACCTCAGAGGGCAACTTTCTGGCCCGGGGCCTTGTGAATAGGTGTCACTGGTTACATGGGAGAGCTAAGTGAGAGAATGTAGACAGAACAGTACACATTTATTAGTATTCCTGGAAAAATCTCAACGATAAGGGATCGGTGTCATCACTTTCATGTAAAAAGCTCGCATATTTCATTCACTTGCTACTCTGATATCCTAAAGCTAAGAAGTTTAGGTTTTTGTTTTTTTTTTGGGGGGGCATAGGCAATGGGAGGAGCACTGAGGGTTTTTAAATGGGTGGAGGGACTGGGGGTTGATATCAGAGAGATGCATTTAGAAGATTAAACGGGGCAATGTAGAGAACTTTGTAGAGAATGGTTTGAGTTGAGGGAGAAACCAGAGACAGAGTGAAGAATTAGAAGGCTAATTTGCTAGCTCAGGCAAGTCACTTAACTTTTGTCTGCCTCAGTTTCCTCAGCTATAAAATGGGAATAATAATAGCACCTATTGCAAAGGCTTGTTATAAGAATCAAATGAAATAATACTTGTAAGCACTTATCACAGTGCCTGGCACACAGTAGGTGATTAATAAGTATTTGTTCCATTCTGTTCCCTCCTTCTATCTTGGCATAAAGACTCGGCCCAAAACTTATCTTCTGTAAGAGGCCTCTCCTGGTCTACCAGGTCCTTCCCTATCGCCTCTTACTCTGTACCCCTCCCCCCTATTCCTCCACTGCTAAAGCCTTCCTCTCAGATTACTTTCAATCTACTCTGTGTATGTCTTGTATATACATAATTGTTTGCATTTCATATTCCTCATTAGATTGTGAGGTCCTTGAAAACATGCTCATTGTTTTTTATTTTCATTGTATGCCCAAAGTTTAGCATAGTACCTTGCACATAGTAAAGCCTTATAAATAAATGCTTGTTGACAGAGTCAACCAGTTTTGCATCATTCAATATTCAGAACTGTCAAAGGAATGCTGGTCCTGGGACTCACCTCAAGGCTTTTCAGTGCCATGCATGCTGCCTTCTGAAGGTGGAGGTTTGTCTCTGTCAGGGCCTCACAGTAATACAGTAAAGCCTGGGGTAAAAAAGACACACGGAAAAAATGTCAATCAAGTATATTTTTGTGTGTGGTCAAAGAAGTGCGTGTTATCTTGACTCCTTGGGATGGGCTCCAGTCTCATTGATCTGGATGCTCCCTCCAGGGTTGTAGATTTCAATCCTTTACGTTTGCCGTCCTATTGTGAATCTTGTCTGCAGCTGTTCATAAATTCATCAGAGAGAGCCCACTGAATGCACTAAAGGCCTTTCTTGCTTTCTCCTAAGACAGCCTGAGCCTGAGACAGTGGCATACTCTGGCCTTCCACTGGTCATCCCTTGCCCATTTTGGACCTAATTTCACCCTGCTCTTGGTTCGTTTTGAGGGGAGTGACAAGTGAATTTAAAGTCAATTATGTCATTACAGAATGTCTCTGTGATAAGTGTTTATATTGCATTACATATGCATAATTGACATTGTATGGCTTGCCTTCATTATGGAATAGGGAGGGACTTTGAAGGAGGGAGAAAATTTAAATCAAAAATTTTAAAAAGTGTTAAAATAAATAATTTTTTTTTAGCAGATGGGCTGCTTAGACTTCATCTAATTCACCCTCCTGTTCTTAATTTTTCAGGTGAGGAAGATGAGGTCTAAAGGAGTTAAGTGACTTGTCAAAGCTCACAGAAGTAATCAGTAGTAGAGTAAGCATTAAAACCCAGTTGTCTGGGCTTCCAGGATAGCTACTCTTTCCCCATTACCCCATTTCCCCTCATTTAGCCTTGACTCCTCTCTTAATAGTAAGAATCTGTGAGTCAAGCAGTTGTTCATTTTAGACCTAATTACACTCTGGTCTTGGGTTGTTTTGAGGTTAGTGACAAGTGAATTTAGAAATCAATTATGCCGCTGTTGTATGTCTCTGTTTTGACTTATGGACCTTTTGGCAGTCTGGTGAAGCCTATAGACCACCCCTTCTCAGTACGATGTGTCTGACTAAGCAGAATTACAAAGGAAACCAATTATATTGAAAAGAACTTATCAAAATATTAAAACAAAAAGCTCATGGACCCAAGATTATGAATCTCTGCCTTAGATGGTAAGCTTCTAGGCAAGGACAATGGCTTTGCCTAGCCCACAGCGTGACAGCATGCAAAATTAGGTACTTAATAGATACTGCTTGACAATATCGAGCCCTAGGTATCCAGGGCCACTTCTGGACTTAGCCCTGGCTCTAAGCTCTTCCTGAGCTTGGGCAGGAGGCATCCACTTGGCACTTCCTTATATCCTGCAGAGATATACAGCCCTAGACAGCAACCACAAAAGAACTATCACATTACTCACTTTAGTTTGAGCTGTTGCCTAAGAAATCCTGACTGCTGTGAAACCCAGATTGGTAATACTGCTAGAAGGGAACAAAAGAACACACTGGGTAGTAAGAACAGTTCACTTCAGTCAGTACCCAGGCTTACAGTATTTCCTTTGACAATGCCTGAGGCTGATTAAAAATAAAATCAACAACCTCGTGGGAGATCATCATTACAGAAGAAGGGGGATTTTCTCCATGTACAGATGTGTGAAGAAAGAGCAGCAAATACTGCATTTGTCCTTTAAAGCTTTGCCATGGTTCAAGAGCAATGAATCAGTAAGAACAAGTAGAGACCTATAACAATTCCATGCCCCACTAAGGCAGTCATGCCCTCCCCCAGTACATGTTTTAGTGAGTCCTTGGCACTTTGTTCATAGTTTAGCCTATATTTACAGGCACTTCCTCTTTGCATTGTAATAACAGATGGTATTTATATAATGCTTTATAGATATTTTATGGACACTTTATAGTATGGCTATTATCTCATTTGATCCTCACAATATCCCTGTGAACTAAGAATTACCAGTATTATTGTCCCCATTTTATAGACAATATATAGAATATAGAAATAGAGGTCCGGAAGTTAAGTGACTTGACCACACAGCTGCTAGATACAGGATTGGAACCTACGCTTTTCCAGTTTACAGTGCTGTCTTTATTGATCCTGCCTTTCATTTCTATGATATATGCCATCCCCCACTTTTTTTCCCTTTCTCTGTATTCCTAGAGCTTAGCACAGTGCCTGGCAAATAATAGGAATTTAATAAATGCTTGTTGATTGATGGCACCTAGTAAACTCATAGGTAGAAAGGAATCAAGCAATGGAGAGAGAGAAAGATGAAAGATATAAGAGGAAGATAGGATAATGGATAAAGTACCAAAGGATATGGGAGGTGGGGAGGATAGGTGAAGGTGGAGAAGGAAGAAGTACATAAATGAGAGTATGTTAAATCTGAAAAGGACCTTGGAGATCCTCCTCCTGACACTCCTCATTTTCCAGTGACTATGGTCACTGATACCTATTGGAGATTAGGTGGCTTGCTCAAGATCATTGACTTGGTTTATCTGCTGAGAGTAAGGAGGAAAAAAGTAAGACTAGGTACTCAAGAAAAATAGAAAACATTTGTTGTGAGGAATGCAAAAGGGAGTCAATAAGAAATGATGGATTAGTGAATAGCATGAAATGCCCAGTTGAGTTTAGATAGCATGAAAGGGAACTACAGACTTTCTACAATAATATAAGGCAACAAGAATGGAGGCAAAGGACAGCAGTTTACTCAATAAGTCAACAAGTAGTTAACAAGTTCTTGCTATGTTCAAGGTACTATGCTAAGCATTGGTGATAACAAAGAGAGGCAAAACCAGCTCCTACCGTTAAGGAGCTCACGTTCTAATGGGGGAGATAACTATATACACACAGGGTAATCAACTGGAGCAAGTTCAGAAAAAGGGCACTGAGGGACTAGGAAAGGCCTCTTGCAGAAGGTGGAATTTGAGCTGAAACTTGAAAGAAACCAGGATGTGGAACTGAGGACAGGATTCCAGGTACAGGCAACAGTCACTGAAAGTATACCTAGTCAGGAGATGGAGTGTGTCATATGCAAGGAACATGATTGAGGTTACTGGATCATAGAGTCCATGGAGTGGAATGAAGTGTAAGAAGAATGGATAAGTAGAAAGGAACAATGTGTGCAGGGCTTTAAAAACCAAAGGATTTTACATTTGAACAGAGGAAACAGGAGTTATTGAAGTTTATTGAGTGAGGGGTAGGGGTAATATGATCAGACCTAACTGGCAATGTAGATATGGGAAACGGTCAAGAGGGCAAGGGATTCAAGGATACTATTGACAGTATCTTTGAAATGGCTGGCTGTGGTGGAGGTTGTGTAGGGAAGCCTGAAGAGTCCCAATGGACTAGGAGAGCAGGGAAGGTCCAAGAGATTAGGGGTAGCAAAGAGGGCAAGGAACATTTTCTTGGTGGATGAGGCAACTGGGGTTAAGTGACTTGCCCAGAGTCACACAGCTAGTTAGTGTTATGTGTCTGAGTCCAGATTTGAACTCAGGTCCTCCTGACTTCAGGGCTGGTGCTCTATACACTGTACCACCTAACTGCCCCTAGGAACATTTTTTTGACCCAAATCTTTTTGACAGGAAGATGTATTATGTTTTGCATCTTGGGCAAAATTCCATTACAACTATATGTTACCTGTTGGATACAGAAACTTTGCCTGACATAGGCTTCTGGCTGGCAGTGAGAAGGGAAACCGATGTGAATTCTGTTTGTTCCTAGCAAACATGGCTTGTTCAGGGAAGGATCATGATTCTGTTCTGTTGAGTGGGTTCAAATGTGGTTATAAGAACTTTAAGGATACCTTGGAAAACCTAGTCCTGTCATTACAGTTACCAGAACCTGCATAACTCTATCTCCTGTTTTCTTCTGGGGCACAGAACACATACCTACTAGCCTTTATCTGATTACACCAGAAAAGTATGCACACCCAGACCAGGACAAAGGCAGTGCCATGATGGGATCAAGTTACACTTTGTTTGTGTTTAGATGTGGGTTATTCCATAGCCCCTCTTGTTCTAAATCTCCTGGTCTGAACTCCATTCTCTACCCATTTTCCTGTGCCTGACTTGAATTCTGAAACCCAGTCTGTGCTCGTAAACTAGCATTCTGTCCAACGGCCCATCTTGGATGCTTGGACACCAACTCTTGGCTCTGACCTTGATTTTTCCTGTGGCTCCTGCCTGGTTTGGATCTCTGGAGGCAGACTCTGGCTCACCTATCTGGACTTCAAACCTTGCCTGGGTCTTTCAGTTTGGATTAATACCTTAAATTCAACTTTGATTCCAGGGCCCATTGTAACATCATGCCCCATTTCCTACCTCCTAGTTGTGGTCCCTAGATGGTGTGCTAGCATATCTGTTCTTCTCCAGTGGCCTACCTTGGTTTCTCATCCCAGCCCATTCTGTCTCATGACCACCCACAACCCAGAGCTAACAATAATGCTGATCAGATCCTCTTTCCTGTTTTTTAAATAATCAAACCATGAAAATCAGAGACTTCACTGCGCAGATACTTTATATTTCCTTAGCACTCTGTCCGTGGTAGCACATTCTTTAGTAGTCTGACAGATGTACCTCTTGTCTCTCCAGCTAGATAACAAACATGGTCTACTCTCTCCCTGCTGGCCATTCGGACACAATATACCATTCAAAATGCTTGTTGAATGACAGAATGAGCCACATGGAATAAACAGATAGTGGTGCATTACAGTTAAATGACAGAGGAGGATTAAGTGATTTCCCCATTATCTAACCACTTTACCTTTTCCCTGAAATGCTTATTTTTGGATGCTGCTGCCAAATACAGTGTCACAGCCTGACTAATCTCATCATTGTTTTCAGTCAGAAGAAGAGCCAGAGTTCGGAGTACTTCCCGCTGAACTGGGAGATTGTTGGCTGTGAGATCAGTCATGTTCTGGAGGAGCTTTTCATCTCTTAATGACTGCAGAGTCTGAACCATTTCGGCTAGGTTAAGGAGAAAAATGGGTTAACATTCTTGTCCATTTGTTTAATATGACAATTATATAACAAGATTTCCCTTTTTAAAAAAAAGTACTTAAATTTTTAAAAATCAAATATTTTTCATTCTGAACTTAACAAACATCAAATAAAATTAACATTTACATATACCAAGTGGAATAGGTGAGGACTGTACATGAAACCATAAATCTCTATTATGTATAACTTGCTTTTCCTTTTAAGTAAGGCAATTCAATGTTACTTTCAAATCTGTCCTGCTGGTCTATAATTCCTATTGGCCTTTCTTCTGTTTTCTTTTGTGTCTGTTAAACAGGGTGTCCCAAAAGTCTGAGTGCATTCAGAAACTACTAAAGACTGAAACTGCCCTCAGACTTTTGGGATAACCCATACTTTAATAACCTCTTTTCTTTTTCTTTTTTTTGGGGGATAATTCTATATTGCTTGGATCCTTTTCCCCATCAGCCCTGCCATTGAAAAAGAAGAAAAACAAAACACTTGTAACAATATACATAATCAAACAAATCTCCATATTGGCCAAGTCCAAAAATGGATGTCTCATTCTGGACTTTAAGACCACCACCTCTCATGATATAAAGATCCCACCATCTTAAAGGATTCCTCAACTATGCTTATTTCAATTGGCGACTGGTTTTTAGTTATTTGGCTTATCTGGCTAATTCAGTCGGTTAGGGCATGAAGCCAACATGGCCCCAGTTAGAGGTTTGATTCTCATTTGTGCCAGCAAGCTGTTTCCTGGTCATAGACTGTGCTCTTACCCCTTTTTGGTCCTGACTTTTGAGTTCATTGGTGAAGGGAATTCTTAAAGAAAAAAACTCTATCAGTATAGACTGGCAACTCACCTAGTCTTAGAGAGTTGCCTGGGACACTGAGAGGTAAAGGGACTTGCCCAGGATCACAGACCCAGTGTATCCCAGAGGCAAGACTTAGATCCAAATCTTCCTGACACTGAGGTTCGCTCTGTATCCACACCACCATTCTGCCTCTCTATCTCTAGCAGGATCCCTTGCAAATGCATGCTATTGGTCATAAGGGCATGAGGGTGAAAGAGACTGCATAGTATAAATCTATCACCACTACTGGAGACACTACTTAAAAAAAATCAATCAACAATGCACAGACCTAAAAGGCATAATCCAGCTATTTCCCCAGTCCATTACCCAAGAAGGTTTCTTAACAAAACATATTATAAACTTTGGTTTTATTCACCTTTGCTATTATTCACATCTGAGAGGGCTACACTCAAATACTGATGACTCATATTTACCAAGCACTTTAAAGTTAAAAAGTGCTTGCTTAGTAACAAAACAGTGAAGGAGACAGTTCACATAGTATTCTCATATTAAAGATGAAGAAAAAACAGAATCTCAGAGAGTTGAAGTGACTTGATTAGGTTTTCCCCCTCACCATAAAATGCGTCCATACAGAGCCCTAACTATATTCCTCTTTCCTTGACCTGGATATTTTTGCTTCATTTCCATTTCATTTTTCTTCCCTCTTCTGTTCCACCCTTCTGAACTCTTGTGAGCAAACATCACTCCTGTTTTCTATTATTAGAGCTCTATCTACAGAGCCAGAGAAAGTAGCAATGGGAAGTTTGCAACCTAGAAGTGGCAAGTTTAGTGTTAAAAAAAAAAAGAGTCACCAATGGAATCACTTCCAGGCTTCCCATTAATGGAATGCTATCAATTAAATGATTGGAGTATTGGCAGACAATTTACATTAACAATACAAAATTCATTTCAGTCAATAATCAAGTGTATCTTTAAGGATATGATCAAATATATTATTATGTATTATTAAACAATTTCTATATGCCAGGCATTGCCCTAGGCACTGGGGATACAAACAGTGAAAAGGTCCCTACTAGGAGTGAGCATTTAAATGATAAAACTGAAGAAGAAAAGGGGGCTATCATCACTCAAGGCTATCATTGGAATGGACCTGGGCAACTGCAAAGCAAACTGTCACAGTGAGACAAAATCCAATGAATCCTACCTTGCTTAGCCAACTGAATTAAGTAATCCTCAAGGTCACTCACACCATTGCTGGCAAAGTAATGATAATACTGAAAAACAGTGATGACTTCGGAGGAGATGCTGGAGGAAAGTAGAAGTTCTGGCCGATCCAGAATTCTAGACACCAGCGTTTGAAATGCTGTAGGAAGATAAGAAAAGGATCAGTCTTATAGGATATAGAAGCTTAGCTCATCAGCTGAAGACGCAGAGGCCAGAGAGGTTAAGTAACTTGCATAAGGTCATATAGCTGGTAAGCACCAGAATCAGCATTTAAGCCCAGGTCCTTCAATATTCTTTCTACTATTCCAGGTTGCCTCCTTATTAAGAGGTGTCAGGGATCTAAACTGCTGTCCTGAGTGGAAGTCTTCTCAGAAAACCTAAATTTAAGCTCAGGCAGAAGTTTCTTCTAAGAAACAATAGAATGGGGGCAGCTAGGTGGATCAGCAGATAGAGCACCAGCCCTGGAGTCAGGAGGACCCAAGTTCAAATCTGACCTCAGACACTAACTAGCTGTGTGACCCTGGACTAGCCACTCAGCCCTGTTTGTCTTTAAAAAAAATGATAGAATGAAAGGATGCAAACCTTCATTCATAAGATCATAAATCTAGAACTATAATGGACCACGGAGGCCATCTTGTCTAACTTCTTTATTTTATAGGTGAGGAAATTAAGGCCCAGGGATATTGGGTAACTTGTCCAAGGTCCTACAGATGACAAGTGATGGAGGCAGGACTCAAATCCAAGCCTCTGACTCTGGAACCAATGCTCTTTCTCTAGTGTACCTTGATGCCTCCTAAAATTGCTCCTGTGGAAACCCTTTCTTATTTCCTTGGGCAACAATAGACCTGGGGAAGGTGATATATATCATCCTGACTAATGCAAATATTTAAGAATAGCAACAGCAAAAATGAGGTTTTCCAACCTGCTTGTAGGCATTGATTCTCACAGTAAGTAATTAGTTCTTTAGCTTTCAATTCTTGAAGCTTTTCGTCTATGGCTTCCTGCTATTTTCCACCCCTGGTAACTGGGCCCATCACTTGGAAATATTAGATGATTCTGAGTAGGCCTGTGCTGGGGAATGGACTGGCAAAAACCTTTCAGAGGACAGGAGTGAAGAGGTAGGAAGACCATTTAGAAAGCTACTGAAATACTTTAGGTTGAGAGGTGATGGAGCCTGAAATGGGGTGGGTGTGAATGGAGAGGAGGGGATGAGTACAAGAAATGTTGAGAAGGTTTAAACAAAATTTGGCAATGGATTGGATATATGGATGGAACGACAGCAAGGAGGTGAACATGACACCAAGGTTGTAAGCTTAATTCAGGGAACCTGGTGCTTTGAGGCCACATGTGGCCTTCTAGGTCCTCAAATGCGGCCCTTGGATTCAAACTTAGATTCCCTCAAAGGGCCACACTTGAGGACTTAGAGGGCCACATGGGGCCTCAGGGAAGCAGGTTTCCCACTCCTGGCCTAATTTATGATTCTGTTATGTGGAAGGAAAAATAAAGGTGGATGAAAAAATACATACTGTTAGATTTTGACCTGCAGTTAGATAGGTAGCCCATTGAGTTAGGCTAGTAGTCTGTACATCTTTGTAAGGCATGACAGCGGGGCAACAGGCTGATCATTTTTAAACATCTTTGTCTGAATTTTAGACTTAAACTCCTATACTCCTAGTTCCACAGTTCTAATCAAATAACATTTTTACTTCTGAATGGACCTTCCTCTAAGCAGGCATTCTGTGGGCCCCCTGCTGCTGCCCAAAATCACCACTGTACGCACTGAAAGTATAAAATAAAGCCTTTAGGTCTGCAACCCACCTGTTTCTGCGAGCCCCGGCTGTTCTTTGTTGACAGTTCTGGCAAAGCTGACCTCGAGCTGCTTCATCACCCTGTCGACTGAGGTGTGGTAGACCCCCAGAGGGCTGCAGCACTTTGCCCAAAAAGAGAGGAGTGACAACTTTTTATGGAATTCTGGGATGGCTGGAGGGGAAAGAAAAGTTACATTACACAGCATTCTATGGGGCACAATTTTGGCTTTCACCAAACTGCCAAGCCCAAGCCTCTGCTGCCCACTGTTTCAGTTCTGATGGCTTGGAATGCATGTAAATAGCAATTGTTTTCTGTTTTGGCCAGAAACTCTGAGGGTCTTCACCTCCCAGACTGATACTTTTGTGATAGCAAAGTAGGCCACCTTTTGTCTAAATTCTTACCAAGCCCTTAGTAATTGAATGGGCATTGAATCGGACAAACTGAGACCTGCAAAGATCTCAGTTTAGAAAGGCTAAGATCACCCATTCTGGGCCATCCCCAATTGTCTGGACTTCTGTCTTGCCACTGAACTCCACTGACTCTGGTGGATAAAGTGAGGCTGAGGACTTTGCAGCTCTGCCTCACTTAAATCCAATTCACAGGCAAGTCAAGGCATCACCCTTGTAATATCTTTGGTCTTCTTGGAGAATGAACACCTCTCCAAGAGGCATGTAGTATAGTTGTTATTGTTCATATTTAACAGATTAAACTAAGGCTAGGAAGGTTATGACTTGTCCAAAGTCACAACTATCAATTGTTAGCTCTATTTCTACACTTAAATAAAGCAGATGAAAGGAAGTTAATCAGTGAGATCATGACGGAGGTGGAGGGAGTGGGAAGATGAGTATGGAGATAGAAGTAACAAGCAGTTTTTTCTTAAAGTTTTCAAGATGTAACACAGTAGGCTGATCATGAACTTCCTCTGGGACACCTCCATGTTGGTTTAAAATGCAAAGATGTTGTAGTGAGTTTCCCAAATCACCAGTGGAGAGGCTTCACAAAAAGGACTGTTTCCTCTAAGTAATAAATATCACAGCTGTTTGAGAAGTGTATGATTCAGGCTCCTTCTCCCTCAGTTTCCTAGTTCAACCCCTCCTTTTGTTTTCTCAGCTGCCGGATTCTTTTATCTCAAAAAGAAAAAGACCAGGGCATCAAAGCAGGAAAGGATCCAAAGAACATTTGTTGTTTTATACATAAGAATATCTGGCCAGTTTTGAAGAAATAAGAGAATTCTCCCTAATGTCCTTGATATTTCTGGACCAGCATAACCTCAGCCTGGATGAGGGAGGTGCGAAAAACTGGGGTGACACATGAAGTTGAATGCTAAGTGGAAAGTGGGATGACAGGAGATGGCCACATTAATGAGATTAAATGATTAATGAGAATAAAAAGTAGAGTTTTAATTTTACCTTTTTGGAAATGTTTTCACATCACTTCCACAGCAAACCTTTGAGTGGATAGGGCCACAAAGGCTCAGTGATATTAAGTGACTCACCTAAAGTTACATCACTAATAAATGGAAGGGCTGAGATGAAAGCAAGTCTTCCCGCTGTGTTCTTTACACTAATTCCAGGCCAAGGAATGCCTGCAAAAGGCAGATCTGTGCTGGGTGAATGCCCAGCCATATAACTTATCAGGGAGTTTCAGCCTTAAGTAATGAAACTAAATTAGAGAATCAGTCAAGGACCTTGTATGACATTTATTGAACAGCTGATGGGAAACTCTTCCCTGATAACTGTGATTTGTTGGAAAGTGAAATTCATGACTTTGCAAGAGTGTCCAATTTTCAAACCTCACAAGTCCAGAGTGTTTTTGGAAGACAATGTTCTCCACCTGCCCCTCCTTACCTCCCTTCCCAAGCTTATGGACCATTTTGAATAACAGTTTGCCTTTGGGGTTGTGAATTAACTTGCTAGTCTTATACTTTTCCAATAAGTGTTGGTAGTAGAAAACAATTGCCTACTAGCCTGACATCATGGGAATATATCTATTTGGGGGGGGTGAAAAAGGAGGGGAAGAGGATATTTAGGGAAGTAAGAACAGTCCTGATTTTCTCAAAATAGAAACCTTACCTTGTTTATTTGTATTTTATGGCCAGAGACTGCCCCTTATGCTATCCTGCCAGCTTGCCACTGGTCAAAAAAGATCCCAAGATCACCATTCTAGAGCTGGAAGAGACCTCAGAGGCCATCTGGTACAACTCGTTCATTTTACAGACGAGGAGGGGCAGCTAGGTGACACAGTGGATAGAATACTGCCACTGGAGTCAGGAGGACCTGAGTTCAAATCTGGCCTCAGACACATAACACTCACTTAGCTGTGTGACTCTGGGCAAGTTACTTAACCCCAATTGCCTCACCAAAATAAAAACAAAAACAAACACACATTTTACAGATGAGGAAACTGAGGCCAAGGTAGTAAGAGACTTTCTCATGGTCACAGATGTAGTAAGCATCACAGGCAGGCTTTGAACCTAGGTCCTCTGAGACTAGTCAGAGCTCTTTCTACCCTACCATCCTCCCTGCCTCCCTTGGAGAAATTTGGGCAAGATGCATCATCCTAAGCTGGGATTCAGAGTCTATCTCACAGATACTCACCCTCTATGACAGAGCTGATGTTCCCTATATTTTCATCGCTGATAGCTGCAAGTTTCTCTATCACTTGGATCTGTCCAGAGAGCTTCTCTAAGAGATTTCTTGCTATAAATGGAGTTTTGCTCGAGGACACAATTTGCTAATAAAGTAAACAAAGCCACTATTTCAGTAGTTTTCATCAACCCAGTTCAACAAGCATTTATTAAATGGCCTACTGTGTTCCAGGGGACCCTAGGGAGCCATAAAGACAAAATCAGCCCTTTGTGCAGGCAGTCTATCTTAAACCATTTCCTCCCAACCTCATCCCTTTGGCATATGGTGTAAAGTTTGATCACTTTGCCCAATTATTCCTGATCAATTTGGGCAAAGTTCCTCATTCTATAGTAGTCATACACAGACTGATATAAGTAGATGTGTTGGTGTTATTTTAACTTTTTTTCCCCCTGACTTTCTTTAAAATTGTGCTTTTTCTCTTTAGTGAAAAATGGTGATGATTTCAGTCATTTCTCTTTCTTCTTACTTCATGTAAAATACTTGCTCTTTGAAATCTACCATTTGTGAGGCAATTGGATATGCATAGATGTGGATGTAATGATACAAAAAGTTAATCTACAAGGGTAGTTAGATCTGGGTTTCATTGAGCAGAAGTAATGATCAGGATATTACTAATATGATGCAATTATTTATAAAAACATTTTAATATAATTTTTTTGGCCAAGTTGAAAAGGAGGGCATGTCAAGTATACTAGGTGTTTGGGGCCTGAAAAATTAAACTTTCTGATGAAAAGAAAAAGATACCAAGAACATATGGTAGCATTTGTTATGCAAAGAAATGTAATAGCAATAAACTATGTCTTAACCATGTCAGACTAAGATGTTAAGGGTTTGCCATCTCTGTTTTCACCTCTGTTTGATTGTAACCTAGACTGGATTTAGAGACTAGCAATATTTCACTTGAAAACTGAGGGACTCAATGATTGATGATCCTCTAATAAATTTCTAATCCTCAGTCATTCACCTAATTTCTCAATGCCCTTCTCTAATTTCCCAATCTCAAAATCTCACTCTATGAATGCTATAATTATGATTTCATCATGGTACTGGTAGTCATTCAACCACCTGACTACGCAGTGAGTGGAAATTGTCCTCTTTTGGGGAGTAAGAAATATACTAGTTTCCAAAAAGAATTAAGTGTTTACTAAAAGGTAAATAATTCCCAGACCAATTTATTCAATACAGTATCAGGTTCAATGAGTATAGTTTAAGAAAAGTATGAAAACAGAATCGTAAAGAAATGGTCAGCAATAATAACATAGTCAGGAATAACTTGTTCATGTTGACCAGAAAAAGTATGTTACACACCTTTTGTTCAACTGCTTTCTGGTATTCATGGCTTACCAATTCAATACAATGTTTATGGGACAACTTATATTTTTCAGAGATACATTGGGAACCTGGCCAAAGGGATCCATCTATATCTAGTGAACTTAATTGGCAACCAAATTATCATAGCCCTTAAAAGCCATGTGAGGCTATTTTAAACAGTCTCTTTTGTGGGAGAGAGAGATGAGAGAATATGGCTACTCTAGGTCCACACACCCGCTCCTCCGCCTAGGCAAAACTTGCCTGTGGTTCTGCACAGCTTCCTCTTCTACTATGAGATCCTAATGAGGCTCTTATTCTAACTAACGAGGGTAGGGAGGGAGCCAGCCAATGGGAGACCACTTCCAGGCCTGGGTGCCCATTTCTTGTCTACCCCTCTATGGCCAACTATGTTTGTCTCCAGATCCCTTCTTGTAATCCCACACCTTGGACAACTGTAAAGGACACAGGAAAAGTAGACCAAGTAGATACAGACAAACACCTAAGGACTGTACTGTTTTAATAAGTTCTAAAGTGCTTGGTACATAAAAAGCACATAATGATGCTTTTCCATTCAATTCTAAAAATAATTTCTATTTGCCTAAGGTAGTTTGGCGTCCCAGTACTACAGTACAATTTTGAATTGTCCATTCACAGTCAAAAAGTGTTTTAGAAATACAGCTAAAGGGAGCAGCTAGGTGGCGCAGTGGATTGAGCACCGGCCCTGAAGTCAGGAGGACCTGAGTTCAAATCCAGCCTCAGACCAAACACTTGACACTTACTAGCTGTGTGACCCTGGGCAAGTCACTTAACCCCAATTACCTCACACACACACAAGCAAAATCCTGAAGCTAGAAATACAGCTAGAAATGAGAGAAAATGTACTGGCATGTATGTTGTTTCCCTTACTTAGAGTTTGAGGTCCTTGGAAGTCAGGACTGCTCGCTTTTCCTATTTCTATCCTCAGCGCTTATCATAGTTCTTGGCACACAGTAGGTGCTTAAATCTTTTTTCCTTCCTTCATTCATTTATTACTAGAAATGCAAATAAGTGGTAGAAGTGACAGTACAGTCCGCTAAAAAATGACACTGATTTGGGGGGAAATCATGGATCAATTCTCTGGCTCTACTCTGACTCAGGAGCTAAAGTTCTTTGCTTGCATCTCTATTGAATGTAGATGGTTGATTCATACTGACATACTTTCATTAGGTTATGTTTCAGTGTTGGGTTTATTTTTTCAGGATGTTTGACTCTGAGCTGCTCAACATGAAAAGCTGGTAGTTGGGGGTCTTATCAGTGACTGATTATGCGCTGTGCTATAAGAGTGTCTGGAAAGTCTAGGGCAGCTAGTGCAGTGGCGCTGAAGTCAGAAGGACCTGAATTCCAATCTGGCCTCAGACACTTGACACTTACTAGCTGTGTGACCATGGGCAAGTCATTTAACCTTGACTGCCTTGATCCCGCTCCCCCCCCCCAAAAAAAGAATAGTGTTTGGATATTTTTCTGACCCTAGTAATTGGTGGAGTAGGTGTAATGGTGAGCCAGCTCCTAGATGTTGGTGACACAGCAACATCTTTTTTTTTTTTTTGATTTGTTTGATTGTCTGGAGGATGGAGAGGTAATGTTTGGATTAAGGAAAACTGTGGGAGTCAGAGTTGGTGAATGTGTCACTAGGGTGGTTAGTCAGTGCACGTGTCAGGAGGAGGTTGTTTGGGTACACATCTCCAGAGGGTTCACATCGGCTCCTGGAACCGATCTGCATTTAGGAAGTGAAGGCAACCTAGAAGCAATGCAGTGCTTACATAAAATGCATCTGTAAAAAAGAGAGGAAAAAGGCACTGCATGGAGGTAGGTGGCTCTTCCTTGTATCCAAGCTAGCACGACTGATGGAGCACCGGGTCATACTTTCAATACCTCTGGGGCATTTTGAGGTCTGAGATGAAGAACCCTTGGCAAATGCAGAGAACTGTCTGGTACAGTTCTGAATGCTCAGAGCGGTAAGCAGGTGCAGAGACAGACAGAATGTGTGCGTGTGTGTAGGAGCTGGGGGTGTCCATGGCACAGGATCTTTTCCTTGCAAACATATCGTTTACAGAGAAGGCTCTTGGATTTCAGTCTCAGTTTCTTTATAGATGGTAGTTCTCAAAACGTTATTTTCTTTTACCCATCACCACACTGCCCCATTATGTTTAAGAGACCTCTAGCTTCCAAGACTGGTGTGAAACTGTGTAAGATTGGATCTGATGATCTTCAATATTTTGGGTGGATGCTCTCTCTTTGCCTGGTACTGTACCATGAGGAATGTTTCAAAAAGAAGCATGTAAAGAGGGCATGGGTTGTGTGGTTTTTTTTTTGAGGTCAAAGAGGTTAAGTGACTTGCCCAGGGTCATACAAATAGTAAGTTAAGTTTCTGAGACTGGGTCTGAACTCAGATCCTCCTGACTCCAGCACCAGCGCTCTGTCTACTCCACCACCCAGATGCCCCATGAAGGTATAGGATCTTACCCATGCCTGCCAGAAAAGTGGATAGTTTGGCCTATAGCAAGGCTCCTTTCTTTTTCATAAGCATTCATTATACCAGCTAAGTAAAAAAAGGGGAGATTTTGATTTAATAAGCATTAACTGTCTATGCGTGCTGGTGCCCAGGAAACAGAAAAATGAAAATCCCTTCCCTCAAGGAGCTTATATTCAACTGAATCCATCTGATTCCCTTGTGTGTCAGCAATCTGTGGTATGAATAGATAGGGGACAACACACAACAATCCTACCTGTATAAGCTGGGTGCAGTACTGCAGGTGCCTAACTATGGTGATGTCAAGGCTTTCATTTCCTGTGGTCAGGGGAAGAGGGCTTCCCGCTACACTGGTACCGACTCCCGTGTCTTCTGTCAGCGCTTCGCTAGGGTGGCCCCTGGCCTCGGGGTGTATTGATCTGTAACTGTTGAGGCAGGAGGGTGGGTGAAACATTTGTAACTTGTTTTTAAAGGCAAGCAGCAGGTCATCTTCACAAGGCTACCACGGGGCCCCTCCATAAACAGTGACCTGTCTGTTGACAGCCATGAAGAATGGAGAAACCATTTGACAAATAGCCCATATCTCAGCCTGGAAGGCGAGTATTCTGAAGTCAAATGACTGAGCAGAACCCCATGTTTGTTCCTTAAGAACAATGAGCCTTCTGTAAAGGATTTTCACTAAGAAACCTTTGAAACAGGCTCTCATTTTGCCCTTCTTGTGTTTTCCTGGTCTGTTGACAGGGTGATTTGCCAAATTTTCTGGGATTAAACTGGCCTCTAGACTTGTGGTTTCCCAAGAACAATGCTATTAAGAAATAATCTATCAAGGCTTGTTTTTGTTTTTGTTTTCCTGGCCACAGATCAATGGCTACTTGAAGAATGAAAAGAGGAAAAGCTACTGAAATGAGAGACATGAATGTTCTCCTACTCCGGACCAAAATGAAAGTAGTGTTTAACATCTCGTAGCATCCTAAATTTCACCCTCCCCTTCAGCACATACACACAGATACAGGTCTCACACTACCACCCCTACTTTCTTTGCCCAGTGCTCTTTTCATTGCTAAATACTTATTTCAAGCTTGTTAAAACTCATATGATATCTTGAATTTGTGGAACATTTAAAATTCTTTGAAAAAAAAAACCACTTTTATACCTAGAAGAAGTCTTCTTAACCTGAGGTTCATGAACTTATTAAGAGAATATTTTGATAACTATGTTTTGATATAATTGGTTTTCTTTGTAATCCTATGTGTTTTATTTTATTCATTTAAACATTCTGAGAAGGAGTCCATAGATTTCACCAGACTGCCAATGGAAAACAGGATACAAAAAGGTTAAGGACTTCTGTTCCACAATCTAATACTCCTATCAAATCTGTGAAATAGGTAGTACTATGCCCATTATACAGATGGAGAAATGGAGGCACAGAAATCAAACCCTTTTCCTGGAGCACACCAAAAGTCACAGAGTTCACACCAGAACCTGTCTCCTATTTCCAACCCAGCACTATCTTTCCATTATATCTCTCAGTAGCCTTGCACTAAAATGTAAAAATTAAAACTAAATCTCAAATATTTGCACACTAGTTGGGCACAGGTAACTATAACTTTTTATATCATTTTGGGGTTTAGCAAGTGATTTCACGAGACAAGCACGCAGTGGCGCATATAAAAGTTTTACGGGCCAGACTTTGCCCTGATCCTTTTTGCCAGTCTTCCTCCTGAATTCATTCATCTCCCTGTCTGGTCTTAATTCCTCTACCATTTTTATTTTAACCATGCATTTTGAATAACTTTTTGCTATGATATTTTCTGGTTTGTATGTGAGTGTAATAAAAAAAAATTGTGCCCTTAATTTATTCTTTCAAAATATGTGATTAGAAAGAGAGGCACTGTTGAGATGGAGCATGCTATGGAGTAGGAAAATCTGGGTTCTTGCCCTGTCTCTGACACATAGTGGTTGAGTGGCCCATGGTCACTTAATTGTTAGTGTCCCAGATAGCTAACACTCCAAGGCTTGAAACAGCAGAGGCACAGTATGTAGCTACAGAAAAATGGGTGACTTAGTGGAGACAGTGCTGGACCCAGAGTCACAAAGTCTGATTTCAAATTCTCCCTTTGACAGTTAATAGCTGTGAGACCCTCAGTCTTAGTTTCCTCAGTTTTGAAATGGAGATGATTATAACATCTACCTCATAGGACTGTTGTAAGGATCAAATGAAATAACATATGAAAAGTGCTTTGCAAACCTAAAAACCTTCTATAAATGTTATGATGATGACGATCTATGATGGCAGAAGGAGTTTCCTCATGGGATGTTCTCTAGATGAATGAAGTCACAAATCTAGTCCATTAAGCCTTTTTGTAAACCACTCCAAACCCTTCTCTTTTTCCCTAATACTCTTTGTTGAAATGTATTGAAGCCTCCCCTAAATTAGAAACATCAGAATTTAGAATCAGGTCAAATCTAATAAGAGGTTAGCTTCATTCACCAGTATAATGAAAGCATTTCATTAATTTTTTTAGACTGAATTTGAGTAACCCTGAGGTTTATCCAACAGCAATCTCCATGTGGCATGTTTTTTCTCAGGTTCTATTTTAGACACGAGAAAAAAAAATTCCAAAGAGAAGAAAATAATTTTCAAAAACCTTCCTACAATTTAGATTTCTTGAAGACAGAATAGCTCTAGTTTGTTGTAACTTGAAAACCTGTTTAGATTAAAATGTGCCTAGTGTAGATTTGTAGCTAAGAAATACATCTCTTCCTCTGGGAAAGTGTCTGGTGAGCTCTTGGTTGTAATCGATAGAATTGGGCATGTTCCAATATGCTTGTTTTATCTCACCTGAAGTTGCAAAATACCCACTATGCTCTAATGCTAAAATGTAGTTCTAGCTGTATCAAGAAACACATTGAAGATCATCTTGGGACATCAGCATCTTTTCCATTCCACCACAAAGAGACAGGGGACAAGAGAAGGCCATGTTATAACACATTAAGATAGGGAACGGGGTCTGTAGCCATTCTAAAAGAAACTTCTATAATAGTGCAAAAATCTGGCCACATGTTACTATGATTGACAAATATAATCCATGCAAAGGCTTAAATGGGACAGAGGAAAGGAGAAAAAAAGCTTAAAACAAAATAAAGAATTAGTAATCAGATACATATTCAGGAGAACCAGGTCCAAACCTATGTCAAGGAAGAGTTCTCCTGACATAATACTTAAGTCTTGTTAGTTAACTGCCAGGTATTTACTTTAGGAACAATTTGCAGACACTCCAAACAAAAAGAAATCCCTCTAATCTTGTTTCCCCTGGCCCTGAAGAAGAAACTTACAATGGCCTTCAGGACTAACCCCAGATGTCCATTACCTAGATGGGTTTTACCATACTGGAAATTTATTCTCCGCTCTAACTAAAGGATCTCAAGAGACCAATATGTCATTTGTATGGTGAATACCATCTTCCTTGAGTAACGTGTGTACCAGGACCCACAATAAGTGAAAAAAAGAATTATTGAATGTAGACGCTGTAAAGAGAGAAGGGTGAGCTGGGACTAGCTTCTGACTTACCTATTTTTCTCAGTCTCAGTGTCTGAAAATACTGAGTCAGCACCTCCTCCAACATTACAAACCTCCTCACCATCCTCCTCATCAAAGTCAGAGGTGTTCAGGAAATCAAAGCTTTCTAAAGCACTCTCAACTGTAAGACTTAAACTGGAAGACCGGCTGCGGCTTCCTGCTGGCTTGCACTGAAAAGGCAGAAGGCACCAATGAAAACATAAAAAAAAAATATGTTCTGAAGCGAAAAACAAAACACACTGCACCCAATTCAAGATACGACATTTTCAATTCCAAACTTTTATTTTGGTTGGCATTTTATATGCTTTTGAGAAACCTTCATATTATCCGATTCAAGATAAAACAGTTTCGGTTCTTCCCCCCACCCCTCAAGCCTTTATTTTTGTTGGCATTTTATATGCATTTTAAATCTTCACATTCACTAAGAAATACAATTGGGATGCCTTGGGAAACAAAGCTACTTCCTTCACTATTCTTCCCTCTCCTAAAATACAAATGAGGAACAAGGTTTAATAGGTGACCACTGTGTCGAAGAGGGCTGCATGTGAAGAATACAAACCAATAACCCAATTTCAGGTGACCAGGACATCTCTGGCCAAAGAAAGAACTCTGGCATTTGAGTAACATTTTCTTATCTCCCTTTAAACTGTGCTCTTATAGGGCATTTTCTGCATTTAAGACTTAAAGGAAGACTTAACTCTGAATTTCACCTGTACTTTATGCTAACTGGATTTTTTTATATGTCCTCACCTCAGTGGAGGAAGTGAAGAGTGTATACTCTAAGAAAAGAAAGGCCCTGCCCACTCTGGAGATGTCCTTCTGAAGGGCTATGTCCTATCAATCTCCTGACTGAGCCCTGGTATCATAAGAACAAAATCTAATACAAAAGGCAGACAGCATTTGTAAGAATAATCTGTTACCATACAGCTGGCAATAAATAGAAGAAAGGAAAATTGGGTAATGTCAATAAGTAGGAATTAAAGGAAGGGGATTAAAATTATTTTTAAAAAATAAAAATAACTACAAATAACTTCCAAATATTCAAGGGAATTGAGGTAGGGGAGTGAAGAAGGAGCAGGTATGTCCTGTGAGTAAAAAAAGACCTAAAAGTCCTCCATCCAATTAGGTAGCAATGTTCGTAGATATCTCAACACAAGGCAGGAAAGTCCTTGCTGAGATCTCTGCACCCAAGGTAGCACAAAGCACATGGGGAAATGTCTTTCAGTCTCTTAGATCAGAGCCGTTTTCATTCACCCTCAGTGATCTCCATCCAAGAGGCAGCATCGTTTGTTTTCTGCTCCACAAGCTGTTTAGCATCCTAGGATGTGAGGGGGGAAAAAAGAGAAAGCTTTGTCCAGCTTAATCTGGTCTTACTTAGGCTGGAATCAAAGCCACTTGCCCCAGACCTACACTATTAACTGTCAGGAGAGGAGAAAATACAGCACAGACACATATGATATGATTCTGGGATTGCTTTTACAGAAGCAGCTGTCAACAGAATTAAACAGCCTAAAGAATCCAGGTAGTACAATATATCAAAGAGTTTTGGCAGATTTGTTTGTTTTTTTTAAATAAAACAACAGTTTTACTTGATAGCAACAGTTAGACAAAAGCGAAAAAAAAACCAAAAACCCAAAAACTAACAAGCTCAGCAAAGAAATTTGTGAAGAAGTATATTTGATCTTCTTAGGCCATAAATAGCTGTGGATAAAGATTAAGTATACTCTGGCTTACAGAGAGAATTACTAATAAGTTTAATATTCTTCATTCTGGATCTCAGCTCATCATTTAAAAACAAATAACACTTCTACTAGCAACACAGGACTTAGGTGATCTGCCTTTCAGTCCTGAGCTCTGCCACTTAATATCTGCGACTGTGGGCATGTCACTTAACCTTTCTGTTTGTCTGTTTTTTTTACTAGACAATGGAGTTAAGTGACTTGTGCAGGGTCACACAGCTAGTGTCAAGTGTCTGAGACCGGATTTGAACTCAGGTCCTCCTGACTCCAGGGCCAGTGCTCTATCCACTTTGCCATGTAGCTGCCCCTTCACTTAACCTTTCTAACCTTCAATTTTCTCATCATCAAGCACAGTGGGGCTGGATTAAATGACTTGATGTCTCTTCCAGTAATAAATTTAAAATTCTGTATTGTTGAGTTAGTAATAAGGCCTGGACTTAATGTTGTAGGGAATGCTCAGGTGAGGAAACTTTATCAGTGCTGGTTGGCACCCTCTCTGCAGCTTAAAGGTTAAGTGACTTGCTCAGGGTCACATGATAAGTATGTGTCAGAAGTAGGATTTAAAGCTAAGTGTTCCTGGCTTCAAGATTGGCTCTTTATTTGTCCAATAACACCAGTCATTTTATAAGACTATGAAGCTACTTATTTGGAGCCTCTAAGGGGTTACGTTGCTTTTCATGAATCCAAATGAAAATGGTGGTAATGAAATCATTCCTGATTTCTTTCTCAGGTGAAATCTCCTTTTCTCCTCTACTTACATCTTAGTTCTTAGAGAATCAGACCAATTACCCAATTCAGCATATACAAATGTAAGATACAAGCAAGGTAATAACTTGAGTACTGAATGATGGCTTTCTTTCCAGTGTCCAGCTTTGTCAGGTCTCCAGTCAAAGTAACCTTTGTGTGCATGTCCACAGATAATGCTATGAGATGTACTTCCCAGGAAGCCAACCCAAAGAGAAAGCTGTTTTCCCTGTTTTTCTGCTGCCACTCTAGACAGCTGATTTCATCTGTTATGATCAGCAGAGTAGCTGAAGGCTCAAAGATGAATGATATGGTCAGCTATCTCAGGTATAAATTCACTCTGAAACCAGGTCAGTGAGAGAGAGAAGAGAGATAGTCAAGCTTGTCAGAAAAATCCCTGACTGTGTAATTTTGTATCACATAGCTGAAGAATGCCAGTGGGATGCATAAACATTGAAATGGTGATGCACAGGGAGATGTGGCCCTTCCTGCCCTATGCCTTCATCTTCATGTTGTGATTATCCTGTGCAGAATTAAGAAGCCTGTGAAGTGAGTCTGTCCCAAGAATTACTCTTTCCCTGACCAAAAGATCATAAGGTCTCTTCCACTGAGTAAAATGAACCTGGATGGCAAAGCCAAGACGTCAAGAGAGATTCAGGAGAGTGCAAAATGCATTAGATATGGATAAACTCTGGCTTGTTACTTCCCATCGACTTTCACTCAATCCGTGTATTGGGAAGGGAGCAGATACTTTACAAGTGGCTCCATCGTCCCATTGTGGACATCAAAGCAACAACTATGGGAATGGTGAAGATATCCCCCTCTCCTGGGTCTCACCCTTGGGGCTTCCCTACTGCTTTATGGTCACTGGTTGCGATTCCCTGATCTTGGGGACCTGACATCCAGCTTCATGTCAGTCTGCAGAGTGCCATTTTGGAGTTCAGAGCTCTTGATAAATACACGTTGGCTAAGTGAACATTGCACTGATCTCTGAATAGTAGAACGATGCTTTAAGAAATTGTTATATAGGAAAAAGGATCCCATTGCCCACAGACTGAGGGTAGGTTCAATGGGACTATGAGATTCCCCATTTCCCTGATACATTCCAGAGGTAATTCACCGTCACCATGACCATCAAGGTGCCATAACTTCATCCTAGGGATACTAGTAACTATGGAACCTGCAGAATCAGAGCGGTATTTCAGGTTTTAAGTTGAGTTTTTTTTTAAATTACTATATTGGCTTTGGTTAAAACAAAAGTATTGTTAATTACCAAATGCTCTTGGCACTCCACCAAATGGAATATAAATGATCTAAAATCTAAAACACTGATCATGACACACACACACACACACACACACACACACACACACACACAAACACACACACAAAATGCCTTGAAGATGTTACTTTAAACAGACTGTTGAGCACCTAGAGCCCAGAGTCTGAAAAAAACAAAACTTCTTGGCCTTCTCCCTACTCCAGCCCTCCCAACTCATTAACACATTTCTGAAAATGTACTTACTTTGAGAACATCATCCAGGTGCATCACCTCTTGATTCAAATCCTCGAATTCTTTATATTGCTCTTTATGGGATTCTAGTGCTAGGTAAAGCCCCTGAAAAGCTTCCTCCAAGCTCCCATCTAAGAAGGATCGACAGCCTTCTGATTCTCCACTGACTGAGCCCTCGACCTGGATCACTGGCATGTCTGTCAAGTTAAGCCTCTTGACAAGCTGTTTGGTGATGTTTCCTTCAAAGGCGTCCAGCTCCACAGGCTTTAGCTCAGACACCTCGTCTGAGTCCTGCAGAAGCGACACAGCAACATCGTTCTCCAGGAACAGGCTGTCACCACCTGGGCCTGGTGTTTGCTGGCACACTTCAGAAGCAGCTGGGGGGGCTTTCTGGTCCTCCTCTGTGTGCTCCAGGGGCAGCTTTGGATTCTGGGCCTCCACTGTGGAATTTCTGGAAGAGCCTGGGCCAGTATCATCCTGAGGGGAAGGATGGTTATGCTCTGCTGTAGTAACAGTGATTTCTGGATTCGACTGACCGATGCTAGCAGAGGAGCCCTTTGATTTGGAAGATAAGGCACAGTCCCCATTGGGCAAGTCACAAAAACTGAGTGACAGTGGTCTTTTTTCCTCAACTGCCATTCCACTTTCAAAGATGTCATCGGGGAGATTAGACTATGGAAAGAAGGCACCCAAAGTTAGTACTTTTAAAAATTAAAAAAAAATTGGGGCATAATTTATTGTTCAGCGGGAAAATGTACGTGTGGGGGGAAATTAAGACAGAGAAATTAGAATATTTTTGTTCTACAAAAGAACTCGTCTCCTAGATCAAAGTAACTGTGTCCTGGCAACTCAGTTTTGAAAAACACTAGATTCTGGGGTGAAAATCTATTCAACCTCTTCCCATATACATGCAGTTCCCTCTTATGTATGTGCTTCAAAAGCTAACACTTAAAGTTCCTTTATTTTCTTTTTTAATCCTTAATAGTACAGGAAATTATAAGCATCCTGTTTTTAAAAAATTATTAATTTGGTGACCATGGCAGAAACAGTTCAATGCATTTTATATGCACATATACACATATGCATGTATGTATATACACACATACATACACACATGTACAAATGTATGTCTATGAGTATGTTTCATAGGTCTTACCAAAATAGAAGGCACTGCAATGAAGATTCCATGGTAGGTCAAATCTCCCAGTTAGGATTCTACTTATTCCTAGCTTTGCTAAATAGAATCAGATCTAATTGCCTGTTTGTAATCAACCATTCAGGGAACATGGGAGACAGCAGCACTTAGAATCCATTAGAGAATATACGTACATTATACAGTACTAAGCTCACATGAGTGGGCACCTTCTTCAAGTAAATAGGAGACAAGCCTCAGGCTTCCATTGCTCTTGAGGCCATCAATGTATAGGGAAAAGGCAACTTGCTAATATAGGTAATTCACCTTATCCAAAAACTTTGCCAGGATAAATCCATGGCAACAATGCTCTACCCTCACCTGTAGCATGTTTGTACACGTACAAACTCATACATACAATTTGTTCCGTCTGTCACTAATTGTTTTTATGTTGAAATGCTGCTGTTATGTGCTCTGTATGGATTTTTCATGTATGTTCCATGAACCATCTCCTCCCCCATTAAGATGCATAATCTTTAAGGACAGGAACCCCTTTTGTATCTTGTTACAGGATTTAATTAGTATAGAGCTACACACAGACCAAGTGCTCAATAAATGCTAATGATTTGCTGATAGGACACATGAGTCTCAAATAAAAATCTTATAATCTTCAGACAAAGAGAGGCTTTGCATGGCAATAACTGGATAGAATAGGAGATAAATACACAGGGAAACTAGAGATCTTCAGAGAGAAATGCACACACAATATATATAAACATACCCATTCCTGAAAATATATCTAAGGATTTCTTTTAGAAAACTAACAACATAATAGACTAATATTCTAGACTCTTTAAATAAATATACAAAATCAAGCTTCAGGAAAAAATGGCTTAGGTCTTTGTTAATTCTTTCAATCACACAAAGTCCTCTGTCTATAGAAAGTGACAAGCTATCAGGCTTAAACTAATTTTGTTGATTTTGCTGGGGAAAAATGCCAGATAATAAGGGCTTGACTTTTGGAATTCAAAAAAAAATCACATTTGCTTTCACTTTGTAAGAGTCCATAATGAAGGTAAATTTTCATTTTTTGTTAATTCTTATTTGCCTATCATATTGGAATGTGATGTCCCCTCATTAATATATCCACGGAGGTAATAATTTTTGCAACATGAGATTGATATTTTTGTTCATGTTTCTGAAACAAAAGTATTTTGAAGATGTGTTTTAATATCATCTTGTTTACTGACTCCTTATATTTCCTCAAGTGGTCTCTTGATTAGAATCAAACAGCAGGGGCCTTTCTTTTGATTTTTGTCATACTGCACACATCTTTGCTACAATAGAGAAAAAAAGTGCTAGAAATCACAGGGCACTAATAACAGGTCAAGAATCGTCCATCAGGAAAGGAAAGAAAGACAGACAGCTGTATGACAGTGTCATCAGTACTCTGAGAGTAAGTTTTGCACCAACTGGAAAGTCCTGATAGCCCAGACCCAACCATTTTTCTCCAGCATTTTGTCGACAAAATCAAGCCCAAGCTCTAAGTACCTGTCAGCACACATGCCCACTGAAGGAAGCACTTCAAACCTCACTCCAGCCAAACTCACATAAAGATCTAGTACTGCCTTGGGGTTCAGTCTGAGGGAGGGCAGGTCACTGAATGAGCGGCTGCGCTGAAGCTTGGCAAAGAATGTATCTTGCAAGGCACCCAGGACTGCTAACCTTCGGGGCTTGAGTGGTGAAGGATGCAGCCACTTCTTCAGATGTTAAAGCAGAAAGGGGAGGTAGTTAGCCCAACGGACCAGTATTAGCATGCTCCTGTTTGTTACAAGGTTTGCTTGGTCAAACTACACAACTGAACTTCAGAGCAAGTGGTTTTTAATTTTCTTTGAGCCATGGACCCCTTTGGCAGTTTAGGAAGGCCTATCCTATCTCAAAATAATGTTTTAAAGTGCACAAAATAAAACATATAGGATTACTGAAGAAACCAATTTATATAGAAATACAATTATTAAACTATCAGAAAAAAGCAAATTTAGACTTTTTGAAATTCACAGGCCCCTTTGGGCCTTTGGGAGTCTTTTGGAGCCCAGGTTAAGAACCCCTACTTTATTTTTTTTTCATATTGAAAAAGTAATTATTTATTATCACAAAAATAAACTGTTGACTGAAAACATAGGGATAGTACACAATATTGCACTGTGATTGTAAAGAAGCTAAAACCTGTTGGAAAAAAAGATGGGACATTCCAGAGCAAACAGCATCCCTTTAGTTGGGTAAGTAGTCATGCAAACAATCCACTAAAACACAACAGCAGAAAGGAAAACCCTTCTCTTTCATCAGACAGAACTCTGCCATACCTCCCCAACCTAAGCTTCTCCCATAAGGGAATGCAGTTGAATTTTTCATCCACGTTTTGCTATCTTATAAATATGGAGATAAATGCTCCTTAAACCAGAATATACTTTGAATTTGCTATTCCAGTAGTGGTAATAGGTTTGCATTGAATCATTCACATGAAGAATCCCTACTTGAGAGGAACATTAGTGCCCAGGTTAAGAACCCCTACTTTAGAGGAATATTAGAGAAGGAAATACAAAGTTTATGAGCCACTGCAATAGGAATGTGGGAGGTGGGGTTGAGTGGAAGTGGAGGAGCACAAATACATTTCAAACATATTTTGTCTCATCCTGGTGAGCAGGAAAATGATGTAGCCCTTGCTGGGTAGAGAGGGAAGGGAGAAATAAGAGGGAGGCTCAGTGCAGGAAGGAAAGGGCTGGCACAGGGAGGCAGTGCTGAAAAGAGGCCACTTGCACTGTTTGTCAAGCATTCCAAATATGTGCCATGGGCACTGCCTTGCTTTTATTATGTCAACCCAGGAGGCCACCTTGAACTTACAAAAAACGAATGATCCTTGAAGGTTGGGGTTTCCGGAGTGCCTTGGCTGTACATGGACATCCTCCTCTGGAGAGCTGAGGCCCTACTCCCGTTGCCTGTGGATGAGGTCACGTCCTCCACATCAAAGGGACTGCAAAACAATTGCTCTTTTATTATGCTTCCCGGTGTACAGGATTTTCAGATCCATCTCTGCCCATTCAATAAAAGGCCAAGAAACCACAGTCTCATCTAAATGCCTAACTTGCACAGAAGCCAAAGGGAATCCAAAGGAGTTGGGTGCTACTTGGCCAGGAGAATTTCAACACACATATAAAAAGTAGGCAGGAAATACCAATGGTTAGAAAACTGGGTCTGGGGACGGGAAACTCCAGGTTCTATTCCCAGCTCCACTCTTATTTATATATAATTTAATCTTCACTTTTCTTTGTGCCTGTTCCTCCATTTGTAAAAGCAGAATTATAATACTTATCCCTCTCAAGCTATTATAGGATTTTAGAACTGGAAAGATCCTTAGAGATCAGCTATTTCAGCACCCACCTTTTCTAGATGAAGAAACTGAGAGATGATATGAAGATTACAAGTCTCAGAGTGCTCTGACATCCCTGGAGATTTCACTACCACTACAGGAATTCAAGGGATTAGCATATTGTGATTCAATATAAATAAAACACTTGAAAGTCAAATCCTGTTTATTTTTAGCTGTTGCCAAAGCCACTTATGATTGTGATGGATGACAAGCTGTTCAAAATGATTCCAGTCATCATAATATTATACAGCTAATCCCACAGAAAGAATAACTTCCTGTTGGAGATGACAATCATCACAAATAATTATGGACAAAAGTTTTAAGCTAATAATAAAGTGGCTTCAGTACTTAATAAGTCTGGGTTTGTGTCTTGCTCTCCTCGTACAACAAATCACGCTTCCATCAATGCTCTATGTTACTCCATGACGCCAGGGACATATTTTCATAATCATGTGTCATGAGCGCTTCAATTTTTAACAACATAGCAGAGTTCTCCTTTAGGAGGCAGCTTTAAGGTAACTATTTCGGTTGGAATCTTGATTGAGAACATGAATCTCTTGCTTTTAAGGAGGAGGTTCATCCACCTCAGAAAACCAGGCTATTGAGTGTATTTATCTATGACTTATGCCCTGCCTGTTTCCGAAATTACTTATAAAACTAAATGTGGTATAAAAAAGGACATTGAAAACATTTAAAAATAAGTAAGTAAAAATAGTTAGAAGAATAAGAGATTGGACTTTTGTCTCTTCTCATCCTCCTGATCTCTCTGTAGTATTTGACACCGTTGACTACTTTTCCCTCCTAAATACTCTCTCATCTTTAGGTTTTTGTCTGATGACTCTTTTTCCATTTCCTTTGCTGGATATTTCTCCAGGTCATATCTGTTAACTATGGATATCCTCCTCAAAGTCTTTGTCTTAGGCCCTCTTCTGATTTCTCTCTGTGCTTTGTTTTTTTGGTGGTCTCTTCAGTTTCAATTGGGACAATTGTCATCTTTATGCAGATGATTCAAAAATCTAGCTATCTGGTCCATTTCCCTCTCCTGAGTTCAGTCCCGTATCACCACCGACTACTAGAAATTTCATAACGCATGGCCCACAGGCATCTCAAATTCAGCATGCCCAAAACAGAACTCATTATATTTTCTCCCAACCCACCTCTTGTCTGAACTTCCCTGTTACCATCCACCATCCACAAGGTCACCCAGAGTCACCAGTTTGATGTCATCTCCAACTCCTAATTTTTCTTATTCCACATATCTAAACTCATCATTTCTTTCCCCACAACATCTCTCAAATATGTTCCCTTGTCTACTTATCCAGCCCTCATCACCTTACAGCCTCTCAATTTTAATACGTTTTTAATTTGATTCCCTACCTTGTCTTTCCCCTTTATAGTTCATCCTTCATATAGAGGCCAGAATGATTTTTCCTATTTCAGAAAACTCTAATAGTTCCTTATTACATCTAGGATCAAGTATAAAGTCTTCTGTTTGACACTGAAATGCTTTATTCCTTTCATTCCAGTCTTCTTCCACATTACTTCCTTCCACATAGTCTATGGTCCAGCTATATTGGCCTTTCTCTTCATTACACATAATGCTGTATCGCCCAGCTACCTATCTCCAAGCATTTTTAGTAGCCATCCCTTTGTCTGGAACGTCATTCTCCTTTATCACCTCTACCTCTTAGAATCCTTGACTTTAAGAATCATCTCAAATACCACCTTGTAACAAGAGGCCTTTCCTAGATCCTTCACCTGCTAGTGCCTTTCCCTCTATAGTTACCTTCCTTCTACCACTAATTTATGTAGATGTTATAAGAATGTAATCTTTTTGAAGGAAAAGTCTACTTTTTCTTTTTCTTTGTATCCCCAGTGCTTAACACAGACTCTGGTGCATAATTGTGTGATAATGTTTATTAATTGATATGAGATACACAAGTGGATAAATGTTAAAATAATTGGATAAATATTAGAACCATTCTGGAAAGTAAACCATCTTATTTCAGAACAGCCTAGTTTATCTGGGTATTTAAAAAAAAATTGTGTGTTTTTTTTTGTGTGTGTTTTAAGATAAAAGTAGGAGTGGTATGTTGTCCACTTTTGGAAAGTGAATTTGAAGAGATAACTTACTACCAAATGATTTCCAAATTTAATTTGATGGTGCCAAGATCATTGATGTCAACAGCTACCACTTGAGGCCGGGCTGCAAAAAGGTCCTTTGTCTCACAGGTGACACTTCCCACTAGAATATGAGTTGCAAGCCCTTTGAGTTCTGTGACCTATTAGAGAGAAAAAGAGAGGACCACCCCTGTGATATAAGTATAGAGGGAAAATGGCCATTTTAAAAGGATACAGTTATATAGTATATCTTAATAAGGCAGAAAGAAACCAGCAATCTGCAAGAAAGAAATCAGTAAATCAGTAACAAAAGGACCTGGAGTATAGGATGGTATGCACAAATCAAAGAAGTCTGTACATTGACTTCATTCATCATTCTACACATCTCTTCTCACAAATAGGCTTCTACACCTCAGTGCCAAGGACATTCCTTTTGTGATGCATTTTGAGCAGAGAGTGGAAAAGGCAAGACTGGAATTGAAGTTTCAAGGCTATCTGCCATCAATAACTGCTATCCATATATCACTGCACTAGAATTATCAGTTAAACATCACCATTCTCTAATGTTGCATTAGAATGATCTGCTGGCTGGTGTAACCAAATGACTTTTTTGTTCTGTTTTGTTTTTCTTATTCTTTTCTATAAGGGATGGCTTTTGGATTGATGAGGTGGAAGGAAATTTGGAAATGAAAGTAATGCAAAAATAAATGAGATGAAAATAATTTAAAAAATCAAACAGAACCAGGACAGGGGATAGGAAGGGGTATGTATGCACAGTACCTTAATGGAAATCAATCCAGCTATCAAGGGCAGGAAAACCATTTCTTCTCCGTCCCAACTCTGTTTGCCATTCATTTCTATTTTGCCTTTAAGTTTCCACCGCTGCCGGCCATACTTCATGAAAATCTGGGACAAAAAACCCCCAAATAAACCACCTTTATTTTCCTTTATACAATACACTTGTACTTATGCTCTTTTAGCAAGCAAAGTTCAAAAGCACAAGTAAATACAGCAACTATCCTTTCTTTTAATTTACCATCATACTACCACTACTCCAGCTCTTGGGTGCTTTCTGAACAATTTATGGGAGGGAAAGATAGGCTTTCGAAAAGGAAATAATGAATGATTATCTAAGGGAAAGATACAGGAATGGTGGTGGATAAGCAATGGTGAGAGAGAGGGGCATTATAAGAGTAAAAAACCCAGTGGACTAGGGAGTGGTACATTTAAGTTGACGTCTGGCCACCACTTACTGTGGGACTGGGAAAACTGCTCAAACTCTGAATTTGTTTTCTTATCTATAAAAATGAGGATAATCATATTTGTAATCAACAGTGTTATAAGGAAAATGTTTTGTCAACATTCAACCTCTTCATCAGTGAGTTATCATTATTATTATTCGTTTCAAGTTGCTTTTATCACAATAGAATGAGAGCTAGATTTGGCATTAGAAGACCAGGGTTTAAGTCCTAACCCGCCGTTTACTAGGTATGTGACTGCAGACATGTCTTTTGACCTCTCTGAACCTCAGTTGTCTCACCTACATAAATGAGGACAATACTGGGAATAAATGCATCACAGGTTTGCCATGGGAATCAAATGAGATAATATGCCTAGGCGTTCTGTAAACAGTAGAGCACTCTGTCAATGTCTGCTCCTGTTTTTGTTTCTTGATGATTTATTAAACAATTAATGTTAAGTACTTTGTAGCGCAGGGGGACTCTTCTGACCTGCTGATTTTATCATGCTTGCTGAGCTAAGGGTAGTAACTTTCCCATGGTCATGATGCTAGTCTGGGTCAGATGGAGGCAGGGCTTGAACCCATTGAGGTCTCCATTACCTCAAAGCCTTTTCTCTTCTCTCCGTCAAACGCAATTCTTCTTAGATAGCAATACAACCAATTAAACTTCCTTTATAGCTATTTACATTTAAGTAAATGAATCTCAAGGTATAAAAATCTCAGCTGTTCAGTCGCTGTCTACACCTCTAACAGGATGCTTTGTCCATGCATTCACACTTACTTTTCCTCTTATATTATTGTAATTGGTGCATATTCTGTTCTTCTGGTTTGGTTCTTTTTTCTATATTGTAGTATTTCATATAGGTGTTTTCATAATTCTGGATATTCCTCATATTTATCATATGGATCAGATGAGATATTTGTAAAGTGTTTACTTAGTACATGAAGTAGGTGCTATATAAATGCTTATTCCTCCTCCTCCTGCACTGTAGTAGAGGAGTCAAATACTCAGCCAGAGGCCCCATCACACTCTTCAATGCCTCAAAACCAGATTAAAAAGTAATTGGGAAATATTTAACAAAATACATAAAAATATAATATTATGTTTAAAAACTAAGTCAATATTCAGCCCACAGTGATCCTTTTGTATGGTTTGATGGCCCCTGTTTCAATTTGAGTTTTACATAATTGCACTATAGTATCCCATTACAAGGCATTCCATGCAAAGGACTGCTGTGTAGTGATTAGAGAGTCAGGAAGACTCCAAGCTGAGTCCCACTTCTGAGCCTGGGCAAATCACTTAGCCTCTCTGTCCCCAGACAACCATCTAGGTTTCAGAGAAAGTGCTGATCTGTATTGATAAGGATTTTCTTACTGGGAATTCCCTTTATCAGTATCAGAGTATAGTCCCTATTCTATTCCATTAAATTGATATGACATAATTCTTTAACCATTCTCTTGTTGAGCATTTATGTTGCTCCTGTGTTTTGCAACTGCAAATAATGTTGCTATAAAAATCCTTACACTCTGGGTGTGTATCTTAGTCTTCAGATAACGCTTTCAGAGCAATTTTATTGTTATTTCTCATTAGTCCTAAAATAGTAAAATAATCAATAGCAATGATTTTATTCCCTTTATTAGGGAAGGAAGGGAGGGGAGAACTGGGAAGGAGAAAACAGAATTTCTACTTAGTAGCCACAAATAAAATAGAGCATGCTCCCTCTAGTGGAGAAGGGAAGTAGAGCAGGCCTTCACCAACCCTCAGCAGTATGAACCTGGGCAGGATGTAGGGGGAAGATTCTGGCTTGATGGGATGACAGGTGCTAGAATATAGTACGAAAGCATGCTGTTATTTATCTTTCTACAGACATTTTAAAATCATAGTGAGAGGTGACTCTTTGTCTGCAGTGGTTTAGAGGAGTTTAATTTGGAAGAGATCTAGGTTAAATGACCAATGGAGTTCTTTTTAAAGGTCAAAATTTCTTTTCTTTCTCCCAACGTCACCCCTACCCACCCCATTTCACCATTTAGCAAAGTGTAACTTATTAGAGAAACCATCTGTAAACATGCATGCCATATAACAAGGGCCTAATATAAGTACTAAGAGGAAAGTTTCTCTTGCTATTTGACAGTGACCATGAGTTCTTCCTTAAGCTCTATAACTTAATTTTATTAGGCATTGATATTAACCATCAAAATAGTTTCATGTCAGATGAAGTATAAAATGATGACAACTCCAGCACAATTCTTAACATGGCCAGAGACAGAGAAAGTACTCACTTCATATTGATCTCCGGGACAGAGCCGAGCGAAGCCAGCCAGACCTGTAAGAAAATACGCAGCACATCAGCTACACAATACATTTCTCCTTTCAGACAGGTTTCATCCTCTTCACAAATCAACATTTTTTGCCTTAAGACTCTCCTGGATTTCCTCCTTACTCTGACTGCTCCTTCTCTGTCTCCTTTGTTCCTCCAGATCATGCCCTCTGACTGAAGGTGTCCTAGGTCCTCTTCTCTTCTCCCTCTATACTACTTGGTAATCTTTTTACTTCCTATAGATTTAATTACTATCTCTATGTGGGATCTCAATCGTCTTCCCAGTCCATCAGGCTTGCAACCCAGGTGTCATCTTCAATTGCTCACTATTTCTCACCACCCTATCAATCTGTTTCGAGGCTTCTGTTGCACTTTTGCAACATCTCTCAAGTACATCCCCTTCTCTTCTGTGCCACCTCTCACAATGCCAGCATTTAGTGCAGGTCCTCATCACCTCATGCCTGGACTACTGCAATAGCCTGCAGGTGGGCCCGCCTGTCACAAGTCTCTCCTCACATCAATTCATCCTCCATTCAGCACCAGTGTGATTTTCCTAAAGTACAGGTCCTATCATGTTGCTCCTCTACTCAATAAACTTCAGTGTCCCCCTGTGATCTTCAGGATCAATTCCACAATCCTCTGTTGGTGTTTAAGGCTTTGAACTCCACCCTCACCTTCCTAATCTTATTATACCTTACTCCCTGACATGTTTTTGGTCCAATGACATTGGCCTCTGCTGTTCTTCAAATAAGACATTACATCTTTGGGCATTTTCTCTGTCCCTTATGCCTGGAATGCTTTCCCTCTTCATTTCTTCCTATTGGCTTCCTTTAAGTACCAACTACAATCCCATCTTCTACAGGGAAGCCTTTCACAATCCCTCTTAATTCTAGTGCCCTCCCTCACTTAATTATTTCCTATTTATCCTGTAAATGGCTTGTTTGCATATATTTGCTTGTTAGATTGAGAGCTCTTTGAGGGCAGGGACTGTCTTTTGACTCTCTTTTGGTTTTCTAGTACTTAGCAAGTGCCTGGCACATAGTAGGCACTTAATAAATGTTTATTGACTGGTAGACTCAAGTAAAATCCAGGACAATCAGAATGCTCAGGGCACCCTATCAGGGAATTCTGCCCCCTTAATGAGGCCATAGATTCTGGTGGACTTACTGGAAGAAACAACTGGGTCATGCTTTCCAAGACTGACCGTAGTATCCAAACCCAGCACAGGACTCAGTTTGGCTTGGACTCATTACTTTATGATCCCCCCTACTTCCTATGTCAGAACTTTTGAATACTTTTATACCAGGGAGAGATTAAATGAGCCACATTCATAATTAAAGTGTAGAATCCATCTGTTAAAACACTACTTCCAAGCAAAGGAAAAGCCTTGTTTTCTCTTTATTCACAAAGGACTCTGTTTATTGCTAGATAGCTACAATTTTCTCATGTGGGTAAGCTCCCACTCATTCAGTGCCCTATGATCCCTCACCATGGAGAATATCCTTTCTCTGAGTCACCTGAGGCCCATTTTCAAGCATGTACTACTCAAAAATAAGATCCAATAAGATCTCTGTTTAAGTACAAAGCAAATCAGATTATTTAGCTATCAGCTTCTGAACCTCAGGAACTTAACTTTTTTTTTTTTGCAAGGCAATAGGAGTAAAGTGACTTGCCCAGGGTCACCAGTAAGTGTCAAGTGTCTGAGGCCAGATTTGAACTCAGGTCTTCCTAAATCTCTATCTACTGTGCCATCTAGCTGTCCCAGGAAGTTTGCATTTGTGATCAATTTAATTCACTCAATAAATATTTATTGAGTACCTTGTACATGTAAAGTACTATGTCAAATCCTTTTGCAAAGAAAAATCTCTTCAAAATAATGAAAAGCAACTCAATTAAATATGAATGCAAACCTCGGGGGAGAAATCTCTCAAAGATCGAATAAAAAAGTTCCTGTCTGCAAGGACCTTACAATCTAACAGGAGAGAAACACACATCTACAAATAAGTACCATATGAGACAGATATAGGAACAACTAGGGTTTGAGTCCTTCCTGGAAGGATGAATAGGAGAGAATGACAAAATCATAATCGATGGAGGAAAACAAAAACAGGGACAGGGAATAGCAAGGAGATCAGGTTAGCTGGAGCAATTAGTAGTAAGTAGGAGGTAAAGTTGGAAAGAGAGATTGGGGTCAGATTATGGAAGATATTCAATACCAAGCCAAAGAATTCAGAACTGGTCAAGTCATGGGAAGTCACCAAAGGGGTTTTGAGAAAGATAGTACTACTTCAGGAAATCCACAGTGTGGATTAAAGCAGAGACACTGCAGGAAAGAATAGTTAGGAGGTTAACACACTAGTCCAAGGATAAGATCATAAGGACCTCAACATGTATAGTAGCTATGGGAATGAAAAATAGAATAGACATCTTAAAGATGTTGAAAATTTGACAGGATTCAGCAATTTTAGAGCTGGGAAAGGGAAGGGAGAATGAAGGAGTAATCATGGATGAGTGAAGTTGTAAGCTTAAAGATAAAGGAATACAGTAGTCCCATTAAGTGAAATAGCATTCAAATTCCAGCTCTGGTACTTACCATGTGACATTGGGAAAGTCACCTAATATATCTCTATGGCTCATTTTTAAATCTTCAAAATTTAATTAATACCTTTCCAACTATCTTACATGATCGTTGTGAGGATTGCATGAGAGAATGTCTATAAAGCTTTCTGTAAACCACAAAATGCTCCATACCTGTCAGTGTAATACTATTATTGTTGTTGTTAGAGAGGTTGGAAGAACCTTATCTGAAAGCTGGAGGTAGGAAAGGAAAAGAAAGATGGGCATTTTCATCATCAGTTCATTCCCCTTACCCTCAATACAATTATATAAGCCTTACATTGTGGTTTCATGACTGTGGCAATTACTGCTTCATACTTCCATTTCCAATAAACATTAAGATGGACTTATGAGCTCATTACTGTGGGATATACCTCCAATGACAGACTGAAACCCATCCATCCATCCATAGCTGCCCCTCTGGGTGACTCTTCTCTACAAACCCTCCACAGGAGTCTAGTCAATGTGCTGGGGGGTCTTCCTCTAGATTTCTATTTAATGCAAGGATATTAGGGAAGTACATAGGCTGTCCACCCTTACTCTTTACTCTCACTATATTACTAACCCATGTTTTTTTCCTTGTGGTTTTAAATCTCCCCAATGACATCCTTTAAACCAGCTCTTCTTAAACTTTTTCCACTTGTGACCTCTTTCTTGTTTTGGTAGCATTCGTTGGCGTTGCATGGGGTGATGGCATGTGCAGTGCAAAGTGCGTGTGCTTTGTGTTCAGAACCAAGGCTGCAGTGAAGTGTATGGTACAATATGGGCAAGCGCTGCCAGAAACACTTTGGATTCATTATGCATTTGATTTTGAATTAATTTTTGATCATTGTGTGTTCAGAAACCTTTTATTGCTGCCAAATTTTTCATGACCCCACATGGGGTCAGACCCACAGTTTAAGAAGTGCTGCTTTATACCACTTCTCTTACTCAATTTGTTTGCACCATATTGCTTCACAGAATCATATAATCTTTGGTAAGAAAAGGTCTTGGAATTCACCTAATCCAGCCTCCCCACCAAGTCTGTCAGAATAGAAGATAACAACTTTTCTTGTCTGTGATCCTACCCAAATCAGTGACACACTACTATAACCCTGCTGCCAGTTGTGAGAACACTATGAAAGGAAGTATAAAAGGGCCAGGAAAACTTTGTCTGGCTAAACCAAATTGGTGGTTAATAGATTACTGTACCAAAGTCATACTTGTAACTCCCTGATTATGACTTTGGCCAACTAGTGCAAAAAATCAATCAGTGAACAAGCATTTATTTGGAACCTTTTATATGAGACCCTATGCTAAGTATAGGGATACAAAAGTTTAAAAAAAAAAAGAAAAGAAAAAACAATTTCTAACTTGAAGGAATTAACATCCTTTCAGGGGAAAATGAAAAGACCTGAGGCACTTCTAAATATGAGGTCATTACCAACGAAAATGAGACTCTACCTCACCATCTCTCAGTTTCTATATGTTGCCTTCCTCAGGCCACCCTTTGACTTTCCCCTCAAAGCAATTCCTGTTGTTCATTTTAACCAATTTCACCTGTATACATAGGTAGCAGGGGAGAGAGAGAAAGGATATGCAAACAATGTGATTAACCAGTGACAGGGGATTGGTTTCCTTGGTTTTAAGAAAATTTGCTGTTGCTGCTGTCTCATGAAGCTCTTACGAGGGCTTGCTCAGATAGCCTTCGGTGGATGGGTTTTATGAGTGTGGAACACTGCATATGGCACCAGACTTTTTTGATAAGTTGTTTAGTTTTGCTAAATTAATTTTCTTTTTCCCACTTTTTAATTAATTATAAGGGATGAGTCTCTGGGAAGAAGAAAGGAGGAGGGATATTTTTGGAAGTATAGATGATGTGAAAACAAAAGATATCAATAAAAATTAATTTAAAAAAATTTTAATGAGTGCCTGCTAATGCCATCTCTGCCTGTAGGTGGCAGCAGTCTACCAAAACTTAATGTTTTGGCAGAAAATTTTTCTAAGTGATGGTTAAAGCAAAGGAATCCATTGCTTACTAAGACCTGGTGAAAATAGAACAAAATCAAAGATTCCAACCTTTTACATGGGTTTCTGAAAGCTTTAGAGGCTGTACATTTTGTAAGACACTTCTGAAACAAACCACTCCTTCAAAAATTTTTTGAAAATCCACAGTTGGATTTTTATCTTAATAAAATATTAAGTGCTTTATAAAGCAAGATGCTACTAAAAACCGTATAAGTCAATACATGATTAGTCCTTCTGTACAGGGTGTCCAGCCTTTGAAGGAACACTAACCTACATAACATAAAGAATTTGGGCAAAGGTTTTGTTGATGGAAAGTATCTGCTTGATTTTCAGGTCACTTAAGTAACGTCCTTCACATGTGGTGCTTCAGCGACACTTCTATACTTATGCACTGGCTATTTCACATTCCTCAAAAGTATTTCTTCACCTTAATGCTCAAAATCTCTGTTTGCCTTCAAAGCTCAGCTTAAGAGTCACCTTCTTCATGAAGCCTTTCCTGATTTCCCAACTGCTAGTACGTTTCCCCTCAAATTAGTGTCTATGTTACATATACAGACATACATTCATACATACACACACACATATACATATATGTTATCTTCTGCAGCTAGAGAACAAGGTCCTATAGGACACCCCTCCTTCCTGCCCCCTACTGGGGAGACATAGGATCAAAGGATCTTGCTCTAGAAGGGATCTTTGAGGTCATTTAGCAAAGTTTAACTTCCGCATTTTAAAGAGAAAACTGAGGCTCAGAGGTGAAGACACCTGCCCAAAGTCACATAGCTGATAAGTGGCAGAGAACAAGGATTTTTTAAAAGGATTTGAATATTTTATTTTCCTCCAATTACAAGTAAAAACAATTTTTTAACATTCATTTTAAAAAAAAATTTGAGTCCAAATTCCCTCCCCACTCCCTTATATGGTAAGCAATTTGATATAGGTTATATACAAAGAGCAAGGATTTAAATTCAGGTTCTCTGACCCCAAATGCAACATACATTCCACTAGACCAAGCTACATATACATACATACATATATATACATATATATACATACATATATATACATACACACACACATATACACACACACATATATATATATATATATATATATGTATGCATGTATATAAAATACTTCCCAAGTCTCCAGTCTTCTCAGAATCATTCAAAGACAACAATGAACTGAGACAAGCTCTAAAAAGTTATATGATTTAGACATAAAGATTGGCATCAGAAGCAAATTAGAGGAGCAAGGAAGAAATTGCTTGTCACATTTATGGATGAGGGAAGAATTCATGAACAAAGATATGGGGAGGATCACAGAAGGCAAAATTGGTAATTTTGATTACATGAAATTGAAAAGTTCTTGCACAAGCAAAACTAGTGCAGCAGTTAAAATGAGAAGAAAAGCAGGTTAATGGGAAAAGTCTTTGCAGCAAGTCACTCTGATAAAGGTCTCATTTCTAAGATATATAGAACTGATATAAATTTATAAGAATAAGGTTCATTCCCCAATTGACAAAGGGTCAAAGGATATGAATAGGTAGTTTTCAGAGGAACAATTCCAAGCTATCAGTAGCCACATGAAGAAATGCTCTAAACCACTAATAATTAGAGAAATGCAAAACAAAATAACTCTGAGATTCCACCTTATACTTTTCAGATTAGCAAAACTGACAAAAAAGAAAAATCACAAATGCTGGAGGAGATGTGGAATAACAGTTACATTGATGCACTGTTGGTAGAACTATAAACTTGTTCACCCATTCTGGAGAGCAATTTGGAATTATGCCCCCAAAGCTATTAAACTGTGCATACCCTTTGACCTAGTAATACCACTACTAGGCTTGTGACCCCTAAAAAATCAAAAGGACCCACATGTACAATAATATCTATAATGGCTCTGTTTATAATGGTAAAGACCTGGAAATAGAGAATGCACCCATAGGGAATGACTGAACAAATTATGGTATATAGATGCGATGGAATACTATTGTGCTGTAAGAAATGATGTAAAAGATGGTTTGAGAGAAACCAGGGAAAATTTCTATGAACTGATACGGAATGAAGTGAGCAGAAATATTCAGAACAATTTATACAAGATTGTAAAAACATACAACTTAGAAAGATTTAGAAATCCTAATCAACACAATGGCCAACCATGATTCCAGAGTACTTATGAGAAAACATTGTACCCATCTCCTGTTAAGAAGTGATGACTCAAAAGTACAGATTGAGACTTTTTTTTTTGTGGGGGAGACATGGCTAATAAGGGAATTTTTTTTGCTTGACTGCATGTTTGTAACAAAGGTTTGAGTTTTCCTGCTTTCTCATTTGGGGGAAGAGAGAGATAATTTGGGTCTGAATTTAAAATCAAATTTTTAAAAAGGGAATAAAAGACTTAGCAATGGGATAAATATGCTTTACAAATGATATTTTAGAGCTTATCAGCTTTCGGGCTTAATCAACTTTTCCTAGGCTTCCTAGGATACTAATACTGTATTATATCTGGCAAGACCACTTAAAAATAGCAATTGCTCAAAGAGAAAAAGCTATATGTTTTAAGTTTATTTGTTTGTTTGTCTCCTCCCACCACCCTGGCCAATTCTATCTAATTACAACCTGTATTTCTTTTAGGCCTGGGTGGTTTTCTTTCTGGACTGGCTATGTGTCTCAGATTATTTTCAAGGCTGATCCTGCACTTTAGTCACGTTGTTTCAGATATACTTACACTATCTAAAAAAATCTTTTCTTCATTGCATATATGTTGCAATAGAAATGGCCACCTACACTTGCCTTACTTTCCCAAAGTGAACCCATTCTCCTAGGAGAATATTCATTCTCTCATTGTCTCTCTATTTCTCTCTCTGTCTCTTCTCTGTTTCCCTCTCTCTCCCTCCTTCCCCCCATCCCCTTTAGTGCTTCCCCCTTCCCAGTCTTCAATTCCACACAACCATCACTTCCCACTCCAAGTAAAACAACTGCAAAGGATACTGTCAAGTTCTCCAGTTAACAATGAGATCTTTCCAATTTGGCAATGGGGCATAAATGATTTAGATTTTCTAGCATTCAGATACTTTTTCCTTCCTCAGAAACATGTTTTACACATCTGGCTTGACCTCATTTTCTCTGTTGTCCTGCTCACTTAGCATTCAACTTTTCACCCCAGCTTACATACAAATTTTAGCCTGCATGCACAAAGTGCTCACCCATGCTTTTAACATGGTCCCAGAGTTTGCCCCAAAGCTATGTTTCATTTCATTGCCATGCTTACATACTGTATTAAGCTGCTTTGGGAGAGAGCCATTAGAGAGCAACCTCCCCTAGATGATGCGCCCTCAGGAGCTCCTGACGAGGTTTTTTTTGGTGGGGTGTGGATTTCTTTTCAATTGGATTAACATGACTCTTTCCCCCTTCCGCACACCCTTCTTTTTCCTACCCGCCCCTCCTGTTTTTTGAAATGGTGCCCCATTTTATTGGACTCTATTCTTGGTCTCCTAGCATCACAGCTATATAAGAACAAACGAAAATCAACCCCTGAGTCGGAGTTGAGCAGGATTTTATTGAAAGGCATCTAGGCAGCTAGATTCCTCAAACCTGTGCCAACCACTATGCAATCAAGTGCCCATTTCTCAGCATAGAAGGAAGGAAATTGGGAAAGAAGGCTAACTAATTACCACATTGTTTGGCTGTAATTTAATTCCATTAGTAAAAGATTCAAAAGTTCTAGAAATGAAATATTAAATAAATTGGACTTAAAAAATATCTGAACCTCCCCCCCCAACCTGAACTGTCATAGTAAAGTGGGCATCAAAGAATGGGCATAACTTGACAAGTACATGGATCAAGGATTTAGATTTGACCTTAGAGGCCATCTGGTCTGACTTCCTCTTTTTACAGATGAGGAACTGAGGCCCTGAGAGATTAAAAGATGTATCCTACGTTACCTAAGGCTGCAGAGAAAGGATTTGAACAAAAGTCCTCTAAATAAGTCCATAGCCAATGTTCTTTCCACATGGAAGTTATAGATTTTTTAAAAAATGGCATGACTTTATTAACTTGGGACACGGGTGATTCTTTTGTAAGAAATCCTTGAATGGCATATAAAATGATTCACCACAGCTGCCAAAGGCAAATGGATCCATTAGTTGAGCACAGAGCCCAGGCCACTGTGGAAATAAGAACATTCCTCCCAACAGGCTTTTTATGTATCAAAACACAGGGCATGAAACTGAAGAAAATTTCAAGTGAACCTCTCCTGTTGGGATTTGGTTGGCTTAAATTCCCTTTTCTTTGACTGCATTACTCATGGAAGTAGTTAGTCTCTATTAGAAGCGAAGGGATCAAACTGCTAGGAACGATTTGGAATGACATGGCTTATATACTAGCTCTACTTTAAATTTTAGTTAAAGATATAAAAACTCAGAAGAAAACTCAAAGTGCAGTACTGACTGCTTTTTTAGACAGCTCTTTCTAACTTCTGAGCTGTAATCCAGGTATAACCATTAAATAATCTCTCTCTGTTTTCTCAAGATCCAGATTGATCTTTGTATTTTAAAGCAGCTAGAGTATGTGTATGGTATGTGTTCACATATTTGCTTTTGCTTGATTAACCATCTGAAAGTCAACAGAGTGCTATGTGCTACAAACAAAGAAAAAGGCACATTCTCTAGAGAGATTACCACCAAGAAGAGAAGATAGGCAGGCACTGCACAGTGTAAGTATCTGCTGGTATTCTAGGGGCTCCATAACTCGTGGGATTGGGGGAAGTAGAGATGAAAAGAATCAGAAAGGGAGGAGTAGCAAGAGGCATTAAGTCTTTGTATTTAATATGAAAACACTGTGCTTTGAAACCTGGTTCATTGTAGAGTACTGCCACCAATCTGAGAGCAAGAATTTTTAAAGTTACCTTTCATTTTGATGGAGAACTCTCCCAGAAGATGCTCCAGCTCTGCTTCAATAGTACACATATTCTAAGAAGGAAAATATAATATCTGCATCAGAGCAAAGTTCCTTAAAAGAAAAATCACCTTGTGCATCTTATGGGCCCATGTCTAAGGAATCCCAAAGCCCTTTCCAGAAATTATCTACTTGGGGATCTCAGCAGTCTCTTGAAGCAGAGAAGGGAATGAAGTTGTACAACAGTGCCATCCTAAGGAATTCTCTTCCTCTCAGGAAATTTCCTATCCGAGTAAACCATCCAGGTAAAAATGTCTTTGTTCAGGCACGTCCAGCTCTTTGTGACCCCATTTGGGGTTTTCTTGGCAAAAATACTGGAGTGGTTTGCCATTTCTTTCTCCAGCTCATTTTACAAAGGAGGAGCTGAGGTATATAAGTGACTTGCCCAGGGTCACACAGCTGGTATGTGTCTGAAGCTCAGTGCTCTATTCACTGTGCCACCTAACTGCCCCAACTCAAAATTTTCCAAGCAAAAATCAGAGAGATTTGATTCTTTCATTAAAACAGAACTGATTGCTGTGAAAGTGATAGAGCTATATGCTTATAGAAATGGATCACATGAACCAACAAATCACATTTATGTTGAGTTTATAAAAGGCTTTCTGCTCTACAACTCTCTGAGGCATAAAATGCAAGTATTATTGTTCCCATTTTATAGATGAGGACATTGAGACTCAGAGACACACCTAGTAAGTGTTGGAACTGGGATTTAACCTGAGGTCTCTGGACTCCAAATCTAGTATTCCTTCCATTCCCCACACTGCCTCAACAGAATAACAGTATGCTTTAGGTATAGTTGTGCAGCTACAGAAGTCAGTGACAGTGTAGTTTGAACACAAAAAACATCTAGAAGACCAAAACTGTTTGGTTTAGCATGGCAGTGGCATCGATGAAACTCAGTGTTATGACCTCAAAGATAAGATAGGTGGACCTGCAGACATCTTTATCTACTCTCTGACCTTGATCTTACCTACCAACGTCAGCCCTATTCACTTTATCCTTCAATAGCTCTCTCAGAGAATATCAGGCTTAAGAGCTAAAATCAATTACTTTTCATCCTGGACAAAAGATGAAAAGGAATGAAAAATATTTCCAGGTTGGAGAGCATGGAGGTATAAGTCCAACTGCTCCATTCGTTCATTCACTCATTCATTTATTCATTTGATAAACATTTAATGAATACCTACTTTTTACCAGGCACTGCTGCTGAGAGGGATACAAAGATGTACATGAGACCCTACCCTCAAAGAGTTTATCTTGTAAGGGAGAAAAGATACATGCAGTGCACTGAAAGATAGAGTGTGATCATATTTTAAGCATGGTACAAAGTATAATAATTTAACAGAGAGAGATCATTCATGACTGTCCCTGAATATCCTAATTATGAATACTAATAGCCAAACAAGCCCAGTACTCGCCTTCAAAACAAACTCCTACAGATAGCCAAAACACTGCAATAGAAAAGAAGAGCTTTGGGGCAGCTAGATGGTGCAGTGGATAGAGCACTGGCCCTGGATTCAGGAGGACCTGAGTTCAAATCCAGCCTCAGACACATAATACTTATTAGCTGTGTGACCCTGGGCAAGTCACTTAACTCTATAACGAAGTCAAAACAAACAAACAAAATAAAAAGAAGAGCTTCAATCTGGGGGGAGGGGTACTGCCAGGGAGGAAGGGAACAAAGAGGCTGAATAGATTAGCATATACCTCAGTATATTCCTTATAGCTCCTGTTGATTTCAGATAAACTCTCTTTGGCAGCTTTGCTGGCTGGGGAGGTGGCAAATGCTTGCTTCATTTTGCTAGCACCATCTTGGAGACGTCTTTGGATACAATAGGCTTCATAGAGTTCATCCACCTGGTCGTGGTAAAAACGAGACATATATATCTTACTTGAGGGAAGAAATTATGATGCTTCATGTTTTGATGTTAGCGAGGAAGGAATTATTGGTGAAACATTATTAAGGAGAATGAGCTAAGCATTTGAATTGTGTGTCCATTTTGATGAGTTTATTATTTCTATTCAAAACAGGTTCAATATAACTCTGACAATGCTTTTTTTTTCTTAAAAAGACTGAAAATAAACACAAAATTGGTGAAAGATGTTAGTTAAAATACAATAATAGCTTACATTTATTTATATTAAAGCCTTGAAGGTTACAATGAGTTTTCTTCATAACAATCCCATGAGATGGGTAGGTAGTGTAAGTATTTTATCCCCATTTTACCAAATGAGGAGCTAAAGCTCAGGAAGAATAAGGGACTTTCAGGGCCAAATATAAATACTAAGATCTCAGAGCTGGTATTTGAAACTTGTTTTTTTTTTTTTTGCCATTTTTCATGTAGGAGAGAGGAAGAGGAAAGTGAGGTGGTTGTTTTGACAATAGGTAGCATTCATGTGCTTAAAATCAGCTAGTTTTATTTTTTGAAGCACAGAAAACTAACTTTTCCCTTTCTCTTACATTTGTATATTCAAACTTTTGCATAATGATGCCTATTCAACTTCTATTCACACTCTTCATCACTGACACTGACACATCATGTCAGAATCATGAATACTATTGTGCTATATAATTACACTAAAATACTTCATACTTAAAAAGATTAGTGATCTCAATTATGTCAGAACATCTCAGGAGACAGCCCCAAAATTCATCCCTTGGTGGTCAGCCAGCTGGACCTTGGATGACTTTTGCTGAATCAGAGCTTGAAGCCTAACTTGATAGGACCTACCTGAGCTTCTGCTTTCCTGGCTTAGCTCTCCAGAACCCAGACTCTATTTCAGGAAAGGAGAATGTCAAGTTGGGTTTTTGTGATACTATTTTGAAAAACTGAAGAAGGTATATTTCTCTATAATCTTTCACCTTGACCTTCAGCTTGTAATAAATAAATAAATCCAACTACCCAAGGTTGACTTGCTAATATAATTAATTGAAGGATCTTTTAGAGGCAGGTTAGAGAATGGCACTTCCACAGGTAAAAATATAACTTTTTCACCTCTGCAAGAAATTATTATTAAGCAAATCTAATTAGCTTTAAATTGCTTGTATTCTTATTTCTGTACTAGCTCTTTGGCTTGCAAAGGAACTTAGAAATCAATGCTCCTGGCATAACTATGAGTTGGATAGTTTATCTCTTAAGTTTTATAAAGATTTTTTTCCTTTAAAAGCAAATTTTTAGTTTTCCAATGGAAGGGACTACCACTTGTTACAGTATTTCCTGTGTTTCATTTTTTTTCTTCTGTGCAGTGATAATTCTGCTTAACTCAGGGCAAGGCAATTTTTAGGATGAAACTAAAGGTCTCTTTGTTAAAGAATCCCCTATGGCTATCCACTTGATCAATCAGGCCTTAAAGGGGCCTGCTGGAATTCAGAGGGAAGGGATGCATGGACCCAGCTCTTCTGCCAAGGAGTTGAGTGGTGACTTACAGAGTCTTTCTGTTGATGAAAAATGTTTATTGGCTAATGCCATAGGGGACATAGAAGGAAAAGAACTAACCAAGATAGAAAATACTTCTCTGGTTCTTTTTCTAGAAGAAGAGAAGGAAGAGGAAGCATAGCTTTGTGTGCCCTGAAGTGGATTGGACCTAGGATAAAGTGATGCTGGCAACTTTTAGATATAAAATCTCTAACTTCTAATTTATTTCAATAAACAAAAATCAATTTTCTATATTGATAGATTTTTAAGATCACTTTGTTGGGTAATTAAATTATGTTTATAATGAATGTTTACATGCTATTACCATAGCTATGTTTCTGTGCCTTGATTTATACAAGCATGCATAGATACTTAAATGTACAAGGTAGAATGGAAAAATAATGACCAAAACACCCCACCCACCCACCCAAAGACCAGTCTCATCACTTCTTAGTTATAACCTGCATATATAATTTACCAATTTAAATACATGGTACTGTAATTAAATTTTTTTAAATACATACTTATTCATTTCTGGGAACTCAGAAGAATAACCCATTTGATGGTAATGATTTTTAATCCCACAGTAATCTAATTTTTAAACCCTTCCTCCCCAATACAGATGTGGAATTGATTATACTTCTACTATCAACAGATGCCTAGAAAGTTTTAAGGACTAGATTCAACACATTCTGGTTTTTTTCTTGCTGTATCAGCTCATGATGAAGATGGAAGGGGAGCAGAGGCCAAAATGGAGAAAATCTTGTGGGGCTTTTGGACTTGCTACTTTTTTGGGAGGAAAGAAACAATGGGAAAACAATTATTTAGGGAGTAGGCATGATGATAATTTATAGATAATGTCCTTGGAAGGTCATTAAAACATGGGGCAAAGGAGAGAAAGGAGAGAGATAGCAGAGAGAGTCTATAAGATGGTAAAATTAATAAAAAGAACACCAGGCACTCATAGTCTCAATATTCCTTCTTCCATCCCCATTGTTTGCTGTGGGCCTTAATTTCCTGCCTGCTTGAGAGTCACTTCTGCAAGGAGTTCCCCATAGACCCAATTCAGGAAAACCTATATTGATCAGTAACTTAAGAATGGAGAGCCAGAAGAAAAATGATAGGAACTTTAATTACCTTACTAATGTGAAACTCCAGTCGTCTCATGTATCTTTCGATTGTTTTGATTTGCTAAAATTTTTAAAAAATGGAAAAAAATTAAAAAATAATCATTTGAAGCTTAATTTAAATTAATATGAATACATTCCTTCACTGAAATGACTATCAATCATTAAAATAGGCCACTGAACACTTCTTTGTCTCTCCTGACCCTGCTCCTATATGTAGGAGCAACTTGCATATAAATTTGAAAGATGATTTAAATAAGAATACATATTTTTATGAAGCATGAAGTTATTTAAATTTCTTCTATCCCCCTCTCTGAACATGTAGGACAAATAATTAAATTCTGTTCATGAGAATCCTTAGATGAAATATTTTTCCTAGGGTGTATGCAAGCTGCTTTTCTGTGTACTTTTTTTTTTTTAAGATAGCACCTGTTTTTTAGCTAAGGGACTCAAAGTTCTTGGGAAATGAAATGGTTTATCAATAAATGAAAAACTATTAGGGTACTTTAGGAATAAGAATCAAGTTTACAACCACATTATAAGGCTGACAGTCTGGAGACAGGTGGTATAATTGACAAAATGAGATTCAATTCTTGGTTGTTTCTATAAATAAAAGATTATATCAAGGAAATCAAGAATAATCTGTTTTTCAGATGTCATCACACATGTCCTGAGGGCAAATCCTCTTACCCTGGTCCAAATCAATAACAACCAAGTAAATGAGGGAAGGGATTTGTTACTTACCTTATCTAGTTCATATAGAACACCCTAAAATGAAGAAAGGAATAGAAGAATTAAAACATATCTTCTCCCAAGTTGCTATTGACATTACTGAAGAAAGCTAGCTTGTATTTGTAATCCTGTCCCTTAGGTAGTAACAATCAGCCCCATTTGATACTCTCTTTGATGAGTGTCTTCCAAGGAACATTTGGACTTATTGCAAATGCCAGTACCAGTTTTTGAAAGGGAACATACCTCTTTACCTTAGATTTCTATAGTTAGTTTAAAAGATATATGAATTCAAGTAAGGTAGTTGGCTGAAGAGGGTGAAAGGGATGCAGTTGAATGGATTGCAGTAGTATGTATATTCTTCTGCACTTTTATAGGGCTTAGGGTAGTCACTACATCCAAATGAAAAATGTTTAATAAGAGCTTTGGTGACAAAGCTTTCAAAATGTCTAAAGACCAGTTTTGTTACTCCATTTGCCTTTACTCTGAGGAAGGTGAGTGGCTGGTGCTATTATTCCTATCTTATGGAGAAACCAAGGCACAGAGAAATTAAAGTCTATCCCAAGGCACCCATCTGATATATTTTAAAGAGTAGTGGAGTCCAGTCCTTGCATATCACAATGCTATTCTTTCAACTAGACTCTATCCTCTACCCAGTTGTGACTAATCTTATCAATAATATTTATCATATTCCCTATACTGTGAATTGTCTAACTATAAATTGTATAACCATAAATCAATATCCAAGTAAATATTAATTTACCACTTCAAATAGTCGCTTTGAAAAGCTAGAGATGCTCACTTTTTTTTCTTTTCTTTTCTTTTTTTTTGGCTAGGCAATGGGGTTAAGCGACTTGTCCAGGGTCAGACAGCTAGTAAGTGTTATGTGTCTGAGGTCAGATTTGAACTCAGGTCCTCCTGAATGCAGGGCCGGTGCTCTATCCACCCTGCCACCTAGCTGCCCCTGAGATGCTCACTTTTTAAAATGCAGCATGGACTCAAAAAACATACTCAAAACTTCTCTTTCAAAATTGTTTTAGAGCTAGAAACATAAGCATTCAATACTGAGAGACGTAATTTTGTGGAAACAGCCAATGTGAGAATTTGTCTTGCTTGACTCTACATGTTTATAACAGAGGTTTTGTTTTCCTTGCTCTCTTGAAATGGGGAGAATAGGAAGTGTGAGGGAGAGAAGATAGATCTTTGAAAATAAAATAAAATTTAATTAAAAAAAAGTAGGTCAGAGCCAATTCATCAGCCCCATGAGTTTACATTTCAGTAGACTATAAGGTCCTTGAGAGTAGTGAATGTTTTTCCTTGCCTTGTACATGTATGAACTGCTTTGTAAATACTTGCTGAAGAAGACTGGTCTCACTACAGTCATGTGCCTCTTCTCAGACCTAAATTAACATTACACCTTAATCACACCTCTTTCTTCACCACACTTGGTCCTGAATTGATTTTAACTCTTTCCACAAAGTGAATCTACTCTCAAAGAATTCATCCATTGAGGAGATATAATGAAGCATCATTGAAATTTTTGCTATTAAGGTTATCCAAGGTTATCTACAAGCTTTTGGCTACTGGAACAAACAACAATGGACATTCAGTTTGCTAGACTACTCAGAGGGTATGGTAGAGGGAAAAGAGCATTGGCTCTGGAGTCAGAGGACCTGAGTTTAAATACCACTAATGATATTACCTGTGTGACCTTGGGCAAATCAATTAACCTCCCTGGGACTCAGTACTGTAATTTCCAAAGTCAGAGAGTTGTAGTAGATGACCTCAATTTCTCTATCTATGATCCTATGGGCACATCCTTGGGAGAGTAGGACAAGGTGGGGAGACAGAGACAGGGAGAGACAAATGAGGGAGCATTGCCAGGAGGGAAAATCCAAGCACCATAAAACCTGGGCGTCAAACTTGGAGTCCAAAGAATAGAAAAATCAGGAAAAGGTTATTAATGTGAAGCACTTCAAAGTCATCTCATCAAGGGGTTCTTAACCGTCTTTGTGTAATAGACCCCTTTGGCAGTCTGGTGAAGCCTATGCACTCTTTCTCAGAATTCCAGAAGGAAATCAATTGTATTGAAATACATATATCAAAAAAACCCAAACAAAACAAAACAGTTCACTAACTCCAGGCTAAGAAGCCCTCATGTAACCCTAACACATCATTTTATAGATGAACAAGTTGAAATCTAGAGGAATAAAGTGATTTGCCCAAGAACACAAAGCTCAAACTCAGATCTAATATCTCCACATTCAATGCACTTTTCCAGTTATAGAACAAAGGCAGTGAAAAGTTATTTATTTTGCTTCCTGTCTTTACACTTATGTTGCTCACACTGACCTTCTAATGTCAACTGAGATGGCAGACTAGATCCAAAGGCAATTACAATGAAAATGTATTGAGCATCATTACTTAGGCCAAACAGGGCTATTTTTGATTTTGTGTGCTCAGAAGCATGCAAGGTAAGGCTGAACAATGATTATTCCAAAAACCGTATGAGAAACAACACAACTGCTTCCTCCTCTCTTCCATCCATACTATATAATGGCAGCATTCATGTGATCATAGACTGGAATGTGACTTCTGAAGCCATCAAATCCAATACGTTCATTTTACAGAAAAGGAAACTGAGGTACAGGGAGGTTAAGTTATTTGCCCAGAATCACATATTGTCAGTGTCTAAGGCAAGACTAAAATGTAAGTCCTTCTGATACATGTCCAGTGCCCTTTCATTTACATCATGCTGCCTTCCAAAGTGAAAAAGAAACTGGTGATTTTTTTTTTTAGGGAAGGACAGGCATTTTGTGTATAATCCACATGTCCAAGGAATTTGTAAACTTTTTAACTCTATGCATTTATGTCCTTCTCTGATGGGCCCAAATCTATAGCTCTCCTTTCTTCTGCTGCTTCTCCAGATGGCGTTTTGAATTCCATTAGCCAGTATAGTCAACATGCTAGAGGAACACAAGAATGTATACATAAAACATCCTCCCTCCCCATTGTTTCTTCTATCTTTTGAGCTCAGGATTTTCTTTCAACCTAAACTCTTCCCAAAACAATTACGGCAACCAGTAGATAGTATATGGACGATTTAAAAACACTTAAAGAGAGCAATTTACCACTTAGATCTGCTGTTTCTAAAAGCTGCCTCCCCACCCCCACCTTCCACTACTCAGGAAGAAGATTCGTCCCTGTCTCAGTGATTGAAACCAACAGATTGTTAATGTATTAGTGACAGGATAGTACCTACCAGACGAGAGTTTCTTCTCATGTGTTTTAACTGAGCAGTCAACTTGTCCAACTCTGTCTGATGAACCTCCAGATACTCACTATAAAGATAAGGTCAAAAAGGCAATTGTGAACTCTGCATTATGTCAAACAAAATCTGGTGATGACTGTCGGCCTCTTCCAACTCCCCTTGAAGGGAGATTACACAGAGGAGTCTTGTTTTGTGGAACGGATGAGGCACCTCTATCTTCTTTTTATTGTATTGTTACAAATGCTGGGGCAATGGTGCTTGGTGCATTTAATATCATATGGACAGGGAGGTGGATCCAATATGGCAGAATAGCAGGAAGAAGTATAATGAGCTCCCCCATCCTCAACTCCTTTAAATGGATACAGAAAATGTACCAAAACAAATCCTATCAGGAAAGTCAAGGGGAAAAAAATAACAAGTCACTTTTCTAGCTCAGGTTGGCATAGGGAGACAGTGAGAGAGGTCTGCAGACACTGGGGAGAGGCCTTGCAGAGCATCCCAACACAATGAGAGGCTGTGCACCAGGACAAGAAGAGATCCCAGGGCTAGCAGAGAGAGGCTTAAACATGAGCAAGGCGCAGAAATAGGTGCAAACTGGTGGCTTTGTTGCTTATTACCCAGTTCTGGGTCACAAAGCCAGGGCTAACTGAGAAAGGAACATGCAACTAGGCACAACATTCCAGAGTAACAAGCGGTTTCAGGCTTTTGGCTGTGAACCAAGTAAGGGACAAATTCCAAAACCAGCAGCAGCTGTGTAGCTCAGACCTAAGGGGCAGCGTAGAATTTCAGCTCCAGCTTCTAGTCCAGTCTGAAGCATGGAGTAGAATAACCAAGGCAGGAATCTCAGACCAAAGGGGAACCTGCAGTTCTGTCCAGCTGGTTAACAGTGGCTGAACGCTGGAGAACACCAAATATGGTAAACACAAAGACCTGTTGCTCAGATTTAAACCCAAGTCAGAAACTTGCAGGACTCAGACCAAAAGGGCAGCAATCAGACTTTGCCCCAGATCACAACAATTTGGGAGCATTTAAAGCTTGAAAGAGCCTAGCCTGAGTTGACCCTGGAATCCTGGAATAACACAACATTCGATTATCCCAAGAAAGCAGCAGCAGCAGGATCAGCCCAATTCATTCCAGAAGTGCTTGAAGCCCAGCCCTAACATCAAGTCCAAAGTTAGGAAGCAGACTGGAAGAATGAGCAAATCAAAAAGAATCCCTCTATAAAAAGCTATTATGATGACAAGGATGCTCAAGATACAACCCAGAAGAAGAGAATGACTACAAAGCATCTACAAGCAAAGCCTCAAAGAAAAACACAACTTGGGTACATGTCTAACTGGAATTCCTAGGAGAGATGAATACTTAGAAGAGTTAAAATGTTTTTATAAATAAAATGAGAATATTACAGGAAAAATTGTAAAAGAAATGAAATCTAAAGAAGAAGAAATTGGAAACAGAATTAACAGTTTGGCACAAAAGATAAAAAAAACCTGCTCTAAGCAACAAACTCACTGAAAATTAAATTGGACCAGATAGAAGCTATTAATTCCATGAAACAACAAGAAATATCAAATAAAAAATTTCAAAAATAGAAGTATAAGGTATCTCATAGGAAAAACAACTGACATGGAAAAAAGTATCAAGGAGAAATGAAAAGACTGACATGAACTGATGAAAAGTGAAGTGAATAGAACTAGAAGAACATTGTACACAGTAACAGTAATATTGTGCTATGATCAACTATTCTTAGCAATACAATGATACAAGACAATCCAAAGGATTCATGATGAAAAATGTTATCCATCTCCAGAGAAAGAACTGATGGAGTCTGAATACAGATGGAAACATGCTATTTTTCCTCTTTCTTTTCTTTTCCTTTCTCTCTTCCACAAAATGACTAATATGGAAATATGTTTTATGTGACTGCACATGTATAGCCTTTATTAGGTTGCTTACTGTCTCAGGGAGGGGAGAAGAGGGGGAAAGAATTTGGAACTCAAAACTTTAAAAAAAATGAATGTAAAATTGTTTTTACAAGTAATTGGGGGGGGAAACAAAATATTATTAAAAAAAAAAAGAAGGCACCAGATTATAAAGGGCTTTAAAAGACAAACATAGGATTTTATGGTTGATCATGGAAGAAGTAGGAAGCCACTGGCATTTATTGAACAGAGGAGATAACATGCTCAGACCTGTACTTTGGGAAGGTTACTTTTGTCATAGAGTAGATGGAGGATAAACCAGAGTGAGGAGAGGCTTAAGGCAGGGACACCAACCAGCAACATATTGCAATAATATCATATGATTCAATAGCCTGAGCTATTGAGACTCTGCACTGGGGATAGTGGGTGTGAATAGAGGGAAGGGGATGTATAAGTGATGTTGTGAAGATGGAACCCACAGAATCCTCAATCTGGATCATGCTACTTTATGAAAAATAAATGGGGTATATTAAAATCCTAACTATAAATACCTTGTTATACACCAGGGAAAGCTTGTATTCTATTAATGATATCTATAGACAGGATTTATTCCTCCAGTCATCAACTAACAATTACATTTTGTGTGTCACTGTTTGCATAAAACAGTCAAGTGGCAAAGAGTTATTGATGGAAATAAAATCTAACAGCAGACTCTACACCATCCTCCCCAGTTCTTCAAAGAAAAATCACATAGGTACAGTCTCTGTAAAGTTTTAGTCTGGAAATGACCCAAAAGTTCATCTAATGCAACTGCCTCATTTTGCAGATGAAGCAAGTGAAGTCATGCCCTTTATTAGCTACAAAGCTCCACACAAATGTAAGGTTATTAGAAGTGTTAAGTCACTTGCCCTGTGTCACTTCTTTGCTTTCATAATCTGTTTAAGGTGACTTACATGAATGTTTTGGATGCTGGGAGTGATGATTAAGCAAAAAGCTACTAAGTCGAAAGTCATCAAACTTGAATTGTGGAAAACCAATGAGGTGATCTTGGTACAGAGCTAGACTTTGTTTTATAGGTTGCTTTTATCCTTCACATAACTATTCTTTCACGGAACAATATTTATTCAGCTTGTGATCCTTTTGTAGATCCAGCTGCGTTCAGTACTCACTGTTCTTGGGCTGACAAGTAGAGATAGCATTTTTTAAAAAGTATTGCTGTATTCAGAAAAGTACAGTGTTGTATACTACCAGACTAAAAATGTTGTGGGATTTCTTTTCTTTTCACCTTCTCTTTATGACATGAGTAGATAGCTGATGTGCATTATCACAAACAGTCAATGATCTGTTTAGATCTGGTTCTAATCATAGGGTCATGGGATTCAGAGCTGGAAAGAACCTTGGAGGTCATATGATCCAACCTTTCTATTTTACAGGTCGGGAAACTGAGATCTAGAGAGGAAGTGGCTGGCTAAGTTCATAAAAGTAGTAAGTAACAAATCTGGGATTCAAAGCCAAGTTTTCTGACTCAAAATCTAGCATGCTTTTCACTAACACCTTGCTGTCTCAGTCTCATGAATTCATGACATGCCATGAAAGCCCCATCTATTTCAGATCTTCAGGAATGGTTTGGAGCATTTCTCTGACTTTTTTTGGTCTTCTGCAGTATACAGGACTGACTAGACATTGTGAGAACACCTTATAAAATTAGCTAATTAGTTGTTTTCAAAGGCATGGCTAGAGTCTAAATTCTGAATAATGAAAGAAAGGAAAGGAAAAAAGAAGTGAAGAAGGAAGAGAAGGAAATGAAGAAGGAAGGAATAAAGGGGAAAAAAGGAAGCAGCGAAAGAAACAGAGAGATGAGAGAGAAAGATACTGTTTAAGCAAGCAGGCTACTCAGTTCACAGTGTTAACTTACTCAAGTCCATTCTTTAGGGATCGGTAGACGTCTTCCACCCTTTTAGGCTGAGGCTCTTTGGGAGGACTGTTACTTTTATATCCTAAATTGTGCATCTTCTTTAGTTTGGCCTGAGGCTTCTTGAGTGCTGAAGTATTTTCAATGAAGGAATTGCATCTACAAAATGAAAAAAAAGTCAAAGCTGTTCAATCTGATGCATTAATGAGAGAGGAAAAAATCTGCCAAAAAGGTACATTTGGATTTTATTACCTTTTGCTTAGACCACTATCTCTAGGAGAGGACAAACGTTTCCCTATGCAGGAACAGGTTTGAGCCATCCTGACCTAGCCTCTTAGTATTTAGTTTGTGATTCACTGCGATCTTTTCTAGTAACGACTTGCTAGCTAACACTCAGAGGCTGGCCCCACTTAGGTGATACACTACAAATGAAAGTCACGTCTGTCCATTGTGAACCTTTAAAGGGCAAAGGATGAAGACCTTGAGGTAAGTGGAAAGACTAGACAGGCCCTTGGTCAAGCCTATAAAACAGATGTGTTTCAGAATACCAGGGACATGCTCCATTGCTTGTGGAATCAATGCCCCCACGCCAGAGTTCTGAGTTTCCCAATTACCTCATGTTACAGTGAAGTAATCATGGTCAGCCCCAATGACAACTTTCTCATGTTGCAGTTTTATGGAGTGGGAGGGAGTATAAAATTCTCCTGGGCTCCCTGGGACACAAAATGCTTCAAAGTAACATTAGGAGTAGCTGTTTCTTCTCAGTGGCTGCCACGGCAAACGGACACCAGCCACCAGTTTAGGGGAGACTTCACAGAAACCAATTAACCCGATTGTATAGCTAAGTGACAAAGTTACTGGGCTTCCTATCATTAGGAACAGGTGGCAGAGGGGTCCAAGTAATCTAGCAGACGTTTTCATATCCCACGGGTAAGTCATAACCTACTTCTACCAGCATGAGTGTGAACAGCTAGGTGGCACAGTGGGTAGAGCACCGGGCTTGGAACAGAAAGACTTATTTTCCTGAGTTCAAATCTGATCTCAGACACTTATTAGCTGTGTGATTCTGGGCAAGTCACTCACTTAACCCTGTTTGCCTCAGTTGTCCTTGGCCAGAGAAGCAGAGCTCTCTACTCAAAAGGAAAAGGCAAAATCCCAGGATTCACTTTCATTCTCAAGTTGCAAGCATCCCCAAGAGGACTGTATGGTACTTGCCTGGATCGCCTTTCTTGAAGACCACTGAAACCAGCAAAGGACTGGCTTCTAATAATCCCATTGGGCCCTCCTGGGGAGAATGACTGAGATCCTACCAACATGATTTCTGGGAGTCTGGTTGATATTCCTGTAAAGATAGAGAGAAGATTAGTGGCAAACACAGACAAAATACACAAAGCTTGTCAATAATGATAAAATGGGGTAACAATGCCACAAAACATGAGTCATGAGACCATTAGATGTTAAAGACTCCTTTTTTTCTGTCACAAAGCCCTATTAAAACCAAGTATTCAACTCTCAGATAAGCGAAAAACTATTAAGGATTTCCAAAAATAAAAATCTAAATATATCAAAACATGTAATTTCAAGTTTCCTTCAGTGGCTACTTTTCATCAGGCCAAACTCTACATTCTACAAAATTAAATTTTTGAAATATACACACCTAGTCCCATTTAGAATGAACAAAAACAAAGCCAGATTTACAGATAAGCTCAGACAGAAAAGGTGAAACTAATATAAAATTTTAAATTGAACTCTATGCTATAAAATTAAGGCTAAAACATTAGTTTTTTCTTTGCTTTAAAAGGAATAAAACTAACTCCAAACTCCATGTTCTAAAATTTTCAAGTAAGTTTTACAAGCAATCCAAATAGACTGGCCAGAAAGACAGTAATAGTGGGTGGGTAGATGGAGAAGGAAGGGAGTGTTCTCACAAAAAAGGTAATAATCTCAACTGCGATAAGAAAGGGGAGGGGGAAGGGAGCAGTCATTTCAATTTATTGCTTTTCTTCAGTGAACAATCACACTGCTAGGTCTAAGATTCAAGGTCAGATTGGCGACTGAACAATCTTTTCTATAGCAGATCAATAGCCTGGCAATATAATAGTAGGTGTTTCTTTTCCTTACCTCCTTGCCCCAGATTTATCCATGAAAACATAAATGGGCCCATAACATTATCATTGTTGTCACTTCATCCAGAAATGGTGACTGATGAGTGATAGCAAAGTTAGGTCAGTTGTTACCTAGGTGAAAGCTTGAAAATGAGTAGCCCAGTTTGTGGGGTAGGTAGGTGGTGCAGTGGATAGAACACCAGGCCTGGGGTAAGGAACACTCATCTTCCTGAGTTTAAATCTGTCCTCACTTACTAGCTGTGTGACTCTGGGCAAGACATTTAACCTCGTTTGCCTCAGTTTTCCTCATCTGTAAAATGAGCTGGAGAAGGAAATGCCAAACCACTCTAGTATCTTTGCCAAGAAAACCCCAAATGGGGTCATGAAGAGTCAGAAAAGACTGAAAAATGACTGTTGTTGTGAGAATCAAATGAGATATAATTTACAATGTACTTTGCAAACCTTAAAGCACCATATGAATACTAATTATTGTCATTTTTGTTGTTAAGTTTGGTTAGAGAAAATGATACTTTCCTAGCTTCTTGATATGATTCATCCAGCACAAAGAGAATGTAGTTGACACCCTGTATCTCCCATCTCTATCTCTAGAAATAGGTGATAAGAATTTCTCATGAATTGTGTAAGTTTTCAATTGTGTAAAGAATAGAAGAAAGGCACCTAAGTGCTGGGCCTAGAGTCTGTAAGACTCATCTTCCTGGCTTCAGACACTTAGAAGCTACGTGACCTAGGGCAAGTTACTTAACCTAGATTGCCTTAATTTCTTTATCTGTAAAATTAGGTGGAGAAGGAAATAGCAGACCACCCCAATATTTTTGCCAAGAAAATCCCGAATGGAGTCACTAAGAGTCAGACATAACTGAACATAAATACACAAAGAATATGAGAGGTAGATATCCAAAGGCATGGCTGTTTTGGAACACTGAAGACACATTGTGATTTTTTACTTCATTGGCCCAGGTAGAAATAATCAAGGTAGAAGTTTCAAAGAAGCTGACTTAGAAAAACAATTCCAACAATTAGAACTATCCCAACACGGAACTGATTTTCAAGAGAGAATACTTTCCTCCCCATCTTGGGACATCTTCAAACAGAGGCCCGAAGACCATGTTGGAGATATTACAAAAGAGATTTCTGTTTCAGATAAGGATTCAACTTAGATAACCTCTGAGATTTCTTCGAGTTTTGAGGTTCTATGACTCATACGTAACAGATTTGGGTACTATTTGCATATATGGACATTTACAGTACATGCATGAGAAATGTACCTCCTCCCTCATATATGGTACATTCCTCCTTGCCATCTATGTGACTTCATATTACATTTTTTTCTCATAGAGAGGCAAACATAAAGCAACTAACTATAGCTTATATTTTTGCAATAATTATATTAAAAATCAGTTTCAGTAATTCTCCATTCAGTAACCTCTTGGGTACTAAAATCAGTTAATTTTTTATTTTACTAATTCTTACCTAAAAGACCTATCACATCATGAACACAATTTGCTAATAGATGACTTACAATTTTTTAAGTAGTTAAGACTATGTAATTTTGACCTGGAGTTTCAAGTATCTGCTTTGTAACAGTACGCTGCAATGGAAATTTTTTAATAAGACAAAAGATTTGTTAATTAGTTACTCAGATAATAGAAGATGAAGGCTCTATCTGCTTCGAGATCATGTCCTATAAGGATTGAAGGAATTGGAAAAGGATCTGTTCTGGGATCCTTAGAAAGATCTGTTAAAGGAACTTGGAATGTTTGGCCTAGAGAAAATTTACAGGCGATATGATAGTTATCTTTGAGTTTTTAAAAGGCTGTTAAATGGAAGAGAGATTCCATTTGTTCTGGTTGGCTCCAGAATGTAAAACTGAGAGAAAATGGAAGTTGTAAAGAGCCCTATTTTGGCTAGATAGGAGGAACATTTTTTAACAGAGCTATCAAAAAATTTAATTGGAGAAAGGTAGTAATTCACGCTCCACTAGAAATCTTTCAAACAAAGGCTAGATGACCAATTGTTAGGAATGTGGGTATGTTGTACAGAGAATTCTTGGTTAGAAGGACTAGATAGCATCTAAAATCCCTTCCAGCTCTGAAATTCTGGGATTCTTTGATGTAAAGCTCACTGAGAAGGGAAACATTCATTCCAAAACTGTTTGAAACTCAACTTCTAAAAAAATTAATTCAATAATATCTATAAAGCTCAATTAAATGTTTATACTTAACATAAATCAAGCATTTGAAAGTAAAATGGATGGTTATTAAATTACAATGTATTTACATTTTCATTCTCACTCTGGAATAGATTAAATAAATAGCATTACTATGAAGGGTCTAGTGACTCTCCTCAACTCAGGCATCCCAAACAAACCTTAATTCTCATCTTATTCATAGAAACCAAACTATACCACAAAAACTATCAACTAGATTGCAGAAGAAAAGGGAAAGAGTAAGGAAGGTTGGGTTGAATGGTGGTGGTGGGGGGGAGAGGAGATAAGGTAGGAAGGAATTGGGGAAAGAGTGATGGAAGAGAATCTTTTCATTCCTTAATCAGTTCAGAGCTTATAAGTTTATTTTTTTTTTACTCACATGCAGTGTCCCAAAATTCCATAGTAAGGAATGGATAGTGTTTGGTGTCCTTGGGCTGCCTCTGGACTTACAAAGCCCCCACAGACAGAGACTCAATTAGTCCAGCACAGCACAGCTCCAGTTCCAAGGGAGGGAGGGGCCTTTCCTAGCCTCCTCTTCCCAAGTCAAAGGTGATTGGATAAAGTAAGGTATTAAGAAAGTGGCTTAATGGGTTAATCAATCAGCAAGAATTTACAGGTTTACCAGGTCCTAGGTAATATGCTAATATGGGCATATCAAGAAACAGAGAAGACCATCCCTGCTCTCGAGGAGTTTACAATTCTAATGTGGGAGATAGTATGTACATACATGAGTATCTGTTGCAAAGCAGAGAGGAAGACTGGAGTGGGCAGGGGTGGAGAAACCAGGGAAGGTCTCCCACAGAAGATGGTGCTTGAGTTGCATCTTGCATTTCTAACAGAGAATTTCTAGGGGGAGGAAGTTTTTGCCTATAGAAATGAATCTCCTATTGTAGAATTGGCGGGAGCAGGCGGGGGCGGTGGAGGCGGGATGGCAAAGAGGTAAAAAAGAGTAAAAGCTGTAAGGAAAATTTTTTGTTTGGAGACAGGGTAAAGGCTTCCTTTCTGGTACCCCCTGCAGGAGTACTGACAGGGAGATGAAGAAAATGAGGCTCAGGAGTTAATTGACTAGCTCTAAGGGTACACAGAGGCAGCTAGGTAGCTCAGTGGATAGAGGGCTGAGCCTGGCGTTAGGAAGATCTGAGTTCAAATGTGACCTCAGACACTTATTAGCTGCCTGACTCTGGGAAAGTCACTTAACCTCTGTTTGTCTTAGTTCACTGGAGAAGGATATGGAAAACCACTCCAGTATCTTTGCCAAGAAAACCCTACAGACAGTATAGTCTACAGGTTTACAAAGAGTTGGACAGGACCGAAAAACAATGACCGAAAAACAACAAAAATACACAGGTCATAGAAAATGAAGCCCCTTGGTCTTTTAAGAGTAGGAATATGACTTCTAGCAATGTATTCATTGAAACAAAATTCCATTTTAATAATTACAGGGGAAAAAACCTTTTTAAGTGTCTGGGGTATCCAATCTAGTCCATCATGCATACACACACACACACACACACACACACACACACACACACACACACACAGAGTAAGCTCTATGTGGAAACCAATGTAATAGATGCTGGTGATACAAAGACAAAACAAAACAAAACAAACGTTTTTGCCTTCAAGTAACTTACATTCAACAGAGAAATATATCACATACATGGAAAAAAATGTCTCCAACATTTCAGCTATTTAATAGTTTAAAATAGCTATTAATAGCTTAAAGCTACATTAAGACTTTTGGGACACTCTATATATCTACATAATTGAGGATGGAGAGGGCACTTATACACTTCTCTATCTTAATCTCTAAAGCCTTAGAGGCACAACTGCGATTTTTTAAAACCACACTAAGTATGTAAGGCTCCACCTCACCAAACATTATACAATTGAGAACCGGGAGCCACAATACCAAAACCAGCAGATTGTTCATAAAGGCCTGTTACTATTTGATTTTCACCTTATCAGAGCTCCAGAAAATGTTTCCAGTCCTCCTAACTTCATACCTCT